GCACAAGTCTTCTACTACTGCAGCTACAGCGACAAAACAGCAATAATTTCCTCATAAACTCGTAATATTATTTAAGAAAAAAGCAACATTTTACTCACTTACTTTTCTTGAAAAGTAAGTGGGGGGGGGGTGTATGTCTGCTGCCATAATGCTGAACAGGACAAAGTAAAAAAACAAACAAAACAATTTTAAACTATTCAGAAAGAATTCAAGACTTAAGCTTATTTTTGTAAACATGCTCTGACTGGAATCACACAAAATGTCTCTTTGACCATATTTTTGTTTTGTCAGACTTAATCAATATCTGAGGGAAAAATTAATATCCAAATTTTAAATATACATTTTTAAAATTAATTTTAGGTATGAATAAGATAGAATAAAAAAGATACATATGGAAAACTACTTAGAAGGCTGAGAGGAAACTTTATGAAAGCTTTTTTTGTGTTCTAGATAGTAATATAATAATTTTGTTTTCTTTTTTTGTTACATGCTTACTCTCTACAACTAAGCATCAGTGTCAACTCTGATCGAGTACTAAACCTTGGACCAAAAAAACTGTATACACTGTGTGTTTGAATGTAAAGATTTTCTCTTATTTTAAAACATATAGATGATGATAAGTGGTGTACGGTCTTTCATGGTATTAATGATGTCCATCCATCCAGGAAGTTTTTCCTTGCCTGTGTCGCCTAGTGCTTGCTCATGGTGGGAATTGTTGGGTTTCTGTAATTAACTTCAGAGTAGGGTCTGACCTGCTCTGTTTGGAAAGCGCTGTGAGACAACTGTTGTTGTGATGTGACGCTATATAAATAACATTGAATTGAATTGAATCCATCCATCCATTCATCTTCTTCCACTTATCAGAAGTCAGGTCCTGGGGGCAGCAGTCAACGCAAGGAACCCCAGACTTTCCTCTCCCCAGCCCATCTACCAGCTCCTTTTGGGGGGGATCCTTAGGTGTTCCCATGCCAGCCAAGAGATATAGGCTGTCCTTCTGGAACACCACGTTGGGAAGGCATCCAAGAGGCATCCTGACCAGATGCCTGGCCACCTCATCTGGCTGCAGAGGAGCAGTGGTTCTAGTTTGAGCCCCTCATGGATGACCGAGCTTCTGACCATATCTTTAAGAGACAGTCTTGTTCTTTTGAACACTACCCACAGCTTGTGACCATAGGTAAAGGAAGGAACTCAGCCCAGGAACTTGTTGCACCACTGCATCACTGCATCACTGCAGATGCTGCAACAAGTTCCTGTAGATCTCTCACTCCATCCTTCTCTCCCGGAGCACCTCCGGATCAAAGAAGTCCCAGAGAGACATGGTAGAACACTTAAATGCCTTGTCCTGGTCTACAAAACACATGGAGAACGGTTTGGCGAACTCCCATACCCCCTCCATGACCCTGAAGGGGGTGTAGACTTGGTCCACTGTTCCATTGCCAGGGCAAAAACCACATTGCTCCTCCTCCAGTTGAGACTAAAAAGGATGTTATGTTCCCCCTGCAGTTGGAACATGCCCTACAGCCCTTCTTCTTAAAGAGATGACTGCTCCCCTCTCCTTAGCCACCAGATGGTGGACCAGAATCTCTTCAAAGCCTTCTGGACGTCATTCTTCATGGCCTCTCCTAAGTCCTTTTATATCCATGTTTTTGCATCAGCAACCGCCAAAGCCGCATTCCGCTTGGCCTGCCTCTGGAGTCCCAAGAGCTACAATGACCTGATAGGACTCCTTCTTTAGCTTGACAGCATCCCTTACTGCATGGAACATAGCCCATCTGACACTAAATGCCCCCCACTTCACTCGGAACATGGCTGAAGTTTTATCTGAGATGGGAGTTGAAGATCTCTTGGACAGGGGACTCCTACAGATGCTCCCAGCCAAACCCAAACAACATATTTTGGCCTGCATGGCAACATCCGCCACCATCTGAGCCAAATCAACACCAGGTGGTGATAGGTCCGACCCTGTCTTCACCCAAGTGTCCAAGACCTATCGCCTTGACTCCGATGATCGAACCATCATCGTACTGACAGTGCCCTGATGCCTGTTGTGAATGTGGACACTCTTTTGTCATTATCTCTTATGTCGTTGTCGCTATGACAATATGTGATGAGCACAGAAGTCCATCAGCAAAATACTACTTAGGGTTCAGATCAGGGGGCAAAATTTAGGGAGTCACTGGGGGGAGTGTATAACAGTAATCCAGCCGAGATGTACCAAAGACATGGATTAGAGTCTCTTTTGTGCAAGAAAGGCATTAACCTTTATCAACTGCCTGAGATTTTTTTTTTAAAGCTGGAATTGACTATTGCACAAATTTGATGATCTAATTTAATATCACTGTCCATCATAAAACCCAAGTTTCTGACTGTTGGCTTCATGTAAGGTGCCAAGTGGCCCAAGTCAACAGGTGGTGATTCTTGGGATCCACTGGGACCAAACACCATCACTTCTGTTTTCTTTTCATAACATTTTAAAAAAATCAAGGACATCCAGACTTCAAGACATAACAGAAGCTGTGTGATGGAGAAAGGATCTTTCTTTTTCAGCGGCACATAAATCTGTCTGTCATCAGCGTAACAGTGGAAAAAGATGCCATGCTTTCTCAGGATTGAACCCAGGGGCACAGTGAAAAGAGTCAGGGCCCAAAAATGTAACCCTGTGGAACCCCATCTAAAAGCAGGGCAGATCGGGAACCATCATTGCTTATGCACATGGATCTGTCTGCCAGATAACACTTGAACCAGTACAAGGTGGTACCACAAATGCCCACTAGGTGCTGCAACCGGACCACTAAAATGTTGTGGTCCACAGTATTAAAAGCTCCCACTAAGTCCAGCAGGACAAGAACCGTATAGTCTCCAGAGTCATTTGCCAGGAGGATGTTTTTAAAAACTCTTCATAAAGCTGAATCTGTGCTGTGCAACCAGACTAGAAAATCTCCAAGACATCATGCTCATCCTGAAAAGACTTTAATTATATTTGAACAACTTTTCCCATGATTTATGAGATAAAAGGCAGCTTGGAGATGGGTCTAAAATTAACCAGCACATCACGACCAAGACCACGTTTCTTGAGCAAAGGTTGCACCACAGCATGTTTAAAACATTGGAGGACAAACCCAGGGAACAGAATGCTGTTAATAATGGGCAGAACCGGCTGCCCTATACTGATGAAAACCTCTTTAAAAAAGTGGGGTAGGACAGTGTCACAGGGAAAACGAGGGCTTGATCTGGCCAACAACAGAGAGACACAGGCTGAAACAAAGGGTCCAGCCAAGCAAGGAACAGGGTCCAGGAGTAGAGATGAGAGCCCTCGTAGTACCAACCTCGTCAGTAAAGAAGTTGAGAAAGCTGTTGCACATTTCGGGGGATGCCTCTAATTTCCCTCATATTGAGAAAGTCTATTAATGCTTAGTTAATATGATCAAATAGAAATGAAAATATAGTGAATGAAAAATCCAATTGAACAAATGGAAACTTCATAATCCGTAATATTGAAAACTATGAATTTGACGATATATTCTGTTACACACCAGTATTGCTACTCTGATATTGCTGATGATTATCAATAATGACGCGATTTAGATTATTGTATGTATAATGGGAGGTATCCATGACAATGGAATGTTTCAAGGTCTCCTGAGCCATCCATACTTAAATTTTTGTCAAAAAGGAACGGTTTAAGTCTAATTTTAAGGCATATGTGATGACTGCATATACGATGATGATATTTTCATGATTTCTTTCCGGGTAAAAAAAAAACATCTACTATCTTGCAAAAACCAATGAAATGTCATCTAGAGTAGTTATGTTAATAGACCGTTATGTAAATAGACCGTCTCCCAGATATGTTGATGTCCAAAAGCAATAGGTTCCGTTTTCTCTGAATTTTTACGCAGAAAAATGTATGTGCCATCCAGGTTTTTATGTTTTTAAGTCATGCTTGTAGTTCAACCAAGTCATTGGTTTTAATAGATAAATACATTGGATTGTCATAAAAGCATATCAATGGAAATTTATGTCATGCTGTTTAGAATTGTTACCTAATGGAACCAGATGTATAATAAAGAGAATTATCCCAAGTACAATCCTAAGGAACCTCATGTTTTACTTTAGTGAGAGAAGAAGATCCTTTGTTGACATTAAGAATCTGAAATCAATCACATACACATACGCAATGAAGATATTCTGTCTGAACATTTTTACATTTATGTAATAGAATGCTGTGATCTAGCAGCAGTTCCGGCATTGTTTTTTTTTCAGTAAATGTTTAATTACTGCACCCTATAAGTCTTTGGAACATAGCCGACCAACTGATAAATTGATCAAATTCAGTATAGGCATGTCGATTGAGGGGGAAATCTATGTGAAAATACGATTGGGATTGGGTCAACAACACAGTTTGGTGGTTTAGAGGAGACTTGTTATCTTTAGCTCAGAAAATACATCTAGGAAAACAGTAAAAAACAAACAATGTTCTGAATTTATTTCTAAAACTGCTCTAAATGATGCATCAGTAATGTTAGCAGAAAGGATTTCTTGAATCCTCTCTCCAAAGAAACAACCCCCCCACTGACATTTAAAGGAATACATGAATCAATAGAACTCTCTTTTATCAGCGTAGCTACAGTGTATGAAACACCATTAAGGTTTCTTTTGTCATTGCAGAATAGTAATCAGTTCTACCTTCACAATCTGCTTATATAACCACAAAAACAAACAAAATCTATTTTAAGAGCGCGTTAGTTATCGTTTTTATTTCATGCAGCATTTTAGGTAGCTACAGCTACCTAATGCAGCTATTTCAGCGGGAGCTGTTGAAAGATAGATTATCTATAAACATGGTAGAAGCTTGTTTGGCAGCTGCTTCCTCCATTCGGTTGTGAGTAAAGAATGGCTAGAAACAGCTGGCATTGGCTGCATGCTGTGTCCACATTGTCGGAAAAGGAAAGGGAGTTTCTCTCTCTCTATCTCTCTCTCTCACGCTCACTCTCGGTGCGAGAATCTTCCGATATGATTCTCCATAGAGACAACATTCAGTCTGCTGTGCTTCTTTGAGAGAGAAATTGAGTAACTGCTTCTGAGAGGGGTGAGTCATCCTTTCAATGCTCTCTACATTCATGATAGCGTATTAATGTTATTTGTTTTACACCAGAAAATAAAATGATTTTTTTAATAATTCATTTAATGAAAAGGTTCATAAACATATAAAGCAGATATTAGACAGTAATTTGTTTTCTTACACTGATTTTACTCTTTATTCTTCTCTGCATTTATCAGTATGTTACTTACCTTACCTTTTAAATATGCTGGTTTTGTCTCAAACACATTGTGCTTATTATAGCTCATTGGACTTTGTCATTTAAGAGTTGTCTTGTCGAATATTCAAATCATATTCTTTGATGTTCTACTTTGAAATTCTGCAACTCTTAACATCTGCAGCCTAATGAACAATGTCTATGTGGTAGTGGTAAAGGTTCAGACAAAATATGCTTTTTAAATAAACAGACTAAAGAATCAAAATCCACAAGGAATTCCATCCTGGCTTTGCCGTCAGCACAGCATATTTAAATCTGAAGAGAAAATAATATTTTTTTTTAATATGTATTAAATATAGTAGCTATGTTAAGCAGTGTACTGGGATTGATTTTCACAGCACTGGTAAAGCGTTGATAAGTCCTTTAAGCATTGAGGTCCAAATTCTGATCGGCCTTGTGGCATGCTGCCAAATACGCATTTACTTAAGCTTAATGTGCTCAAAATAAGTGACACTCATATGTAAGTAAGACTCAGCAAAATAATATCACATCACGACATCTTTGCATTTGATGGCCTCATTAGCCCATCCATCCATCCATCCATCCATCCATCCATTATCTTTGATGCTTATTCCCTATTGGTGTCACGGGGAGAACTGGAGCCTATCCCAGCGGTCAATGGGCCTAACATGCAGGGTTCTGGACTCTGGGAGGAACCCAGAACCCGGAGAGAACCCATGCAAACACAGGGAGAACATGCAAACTCCACACAGAAAGGTCCTGGCTCCCCCGGGACAAAAACCCATAACATTCTTACTGTGAGGCGATTGGTGCTAACCACCACACCACCCCATAGCCCATTCATTCTTTGATGTTTATCTAAAAAGACATACGTTAAGTTCAAAAGGAACATTTCAGGGTACACTAATAATTGTATATTGACAGTGTGTACCACTCAATTGATTTTGCTTCAATTAGCCCCCTATTGTGTTCAGTCTAGTCTAACATGAACTTTCTGAATTAATTGTGCCTGTATTTCATTTCTCTCGCCACCTTGTCGGTGAATCCATTAGAATGAATTAACATAAATATTTTAAAATAAAAAAAATACATACAAAGTGAGAAACAAACAAACAAATAGTCAACGCCTGTTCTTCTTGTTGAGCAGACGACAAAACCAACAGTGACTCATTTGTGATTGTATCATGTGCAGGGTGACAAAATATGTCTGCAAACAAACATGCATATGAACATAAAGTAATTTCTCCTACAATAGGTTATATCTGAAGCATTTATTGTATTTACACGCAGACAGATTTATGAGATCGAAGAAAAGTAACACAATGTGACACACAAAATGTCTATAAATGCAATTTGGTGTAATTTGTACTTTCTAATATCAGTTGCCTTTAACGTTATAATTGAATCCACCACTTGTTAATTCCAATTACACTTCATATAGCCACAAGCCAGGTATCTGACTTGAATTGTGATAGTGCCATTATTTTTGGGCAGAGGATTAATGTTTGAGGAGAAGAAAACACAAAACAGTATGTTTTAAAGGTCGCCATAGCAACTTTAGAAAATCGCCTCTGACCACGTGGCTTCGGCTCTGTCTGTACTGACGTTATTGGATTCATATCATATGAGCTGAAGATTGAGATCTCGGTGTGGTGTGTGGTTATGGTGGATCAGAAAGATCAGAGCCTGAGGAGATCTGTAGCTTCTCCCAGCTTCCATTGTTAACTGTTCAATTCTGGCATTTACTGAGGTCTATTAAATGTTGTCAAAAAAGAGAATGGTGAAAAAAACAACTATATCATTGGCACTGACAGTGAAAAAATGTTTAATTATTGTGAATTGATTGATACATATAATGTGGAGCTTCACAATTCTATTTCCCGTAAGCTAATAAAGAAATAATAAGCTTTTCTGTCAGTTTAGCGTTGTAATATTTTCTTCTTTTCAAAGTCTTTTACATGTGTTCAACTGTCAACAATATTTCAATAGCCCACATACACAGAGAATAAGCTGATAAACTTTATTTTCTTGACAATTTCTGGTTGATTTTACTTCATGTTGCAGAAAACAATCAGAAGTTCAAAAGCTTTTTTACAGACATATTAATACACCAAGCTTATCACAGCTTATCCCCACAGGTTGTCTGAATGGTTTTTCCTTTGTTAAATGATGGGCATTAACAGACAAATGTACAAACGTGGAAAGAAGACTACATTATATCAATTTCTTACTTACTGGATGGTAACAAATTATAAATATTCAAAAGTGATTTCTGTTTATCTTTTTTATATTTTGTCAAAGGAATAAATAAAGATAAGAGAATAGAAAATATAACATTTTAATTTGTATTTTTCCTTGGATCCGGCTTTATGGGGTTAATTCACTAATTCATTAGTGAAACAGGCTTGCCAATTTCCAACTAATGGAAATGCAATCAACTTATGTCTAATGTTAAATACAACACTTTTCAATACTATGCCATCTTGCTGACTGCACCAGCCAAAATCTGCTTGATCCTGATATATCACCCACTAGGACTTTCTAGATGAACTAGATATCTTGCTCTCATCCATCCATGAACATAACTGTCCCATAGTGGTCATTGGTGATGTGAATATTTTTTTGTATTTTTAGAGTCTTAAGTCAGTTTCTCAGACTGTCTCAGGGAACTCTTGTTTAGCTTCCTTCAACCTTAGCTGTCTGAGTCAGCCTGTGAACCAAGGTTTGCCATAGCTGAAACTCACCCTGGTTGGTGATGGTACACATCTTTCCACACAGAAGACTGTTGGTTGCAGTCCTGAACACATCCCAGTCCGTACAATCCAAACACACTCGTAAATCTTCCACAGCTTCGCCGTTCCACGTCATTGATGTAGTCACTGCAGGTTTATATAGTTTTAGTTTCTGCTCGTACGCAGATATCAGGTAGAGTCTGACGTGGTCGGAAGGACTCTAGTTTGACATTTAATGAACTGTGTGTGTTTGGGAAGTCCGTAGTTAAGGTTACGTTTGTTAAAGTCCCGGTTTGTCCGTTTCACACCCAGTGTCTGGTCTGCAAGCCTGCGCTGTGCATCCTGCACAATGGCCTGTTGTGGAATGTAAACCCCGACCAGAATGAATGACGCAAACTCACGGGGGTAGTAGAAGGGTTTGCAATTTATTAAAAAAATGTTGCTGTGCTGCAGGACCACTTATATGTTTTTACACCAGACACAGATTGTGTAGAAACAGATACCTCCATCTTCGGTTTCGCTGGAGAGTTTGGTGGCGCAATTAGCTCTTAAGAGTTGGAAGCCTACTAGTTGGACCATAGAGTCCGGTATCACCTCACACAGCCACGTCTCTCTGAAGCACAAAACAGAAGATAGAGAAAGGTCCCTGCTTCCACCCATTGTTTGTGAGGTTCGTTCAGTTTGTCGGCCAGTGATTGCATGTTGGACAAAAAATCCCTAATGGGGGAGTGCGCATTTTGGCTGTTGGAGGTGTAGTAGCGTTCCAGCGCGTTTTCCTCTCCCGTAAGGTTTCACGGCATGGACAATGGTGAAGGCACCTTTTTCACAGATGGGAGCAAAAAGAGTGTGAAATAAATCCGACGTGGTCGTTCCCCTTCATGGCCACGAACTCGTCCTTTGTAAAAGAGCTTTGCATATTATGGCAAAACAGGACAAAACAATGAGCACCAACACATTGCGTTGGCCATCCACGGCACCATCTGGGCTTAAATTATGTTAAACACTCCCACTCGGGAGATACTTCTTGTGTATCTTTATTTGTCGTGCCATTTTATTCTTGAAAAGGTCCTTGAACAAATCCATTGGTTCATAGACCACGAATACAAACACTATTAGAGCGTCATGTGTAAGCTAACACACTGTATCTTCTACTAAATGTACCCCTTTCTTGTTTTTCATCTGTAAAAACTTTATTAGGTATCAAGAGTACTCTATTTAGCATATTTTAAGAAATTCTAAAAACACATTTATTTCAGTCATATTTTCAGACATTATAGAAAGGAGGCTGAAGATGGTGTTAATTATATTTAGGCTAGTTTTTAGAAACAATAACACAAAACCGAGACAAAAGCAAATCCATCTTCGATATGACCATTATCACAGTGGGTGGATACATTAGTGTTTGATAAAAAACAGACCATCAGATCAGCTTGGGTTAAGTGTGAGAGGCAGTGAGATAAGAATATGATTATTCAAATATTCCCAATTTACAAGTAAAGAATGATGAACATGTCTCCACAAGTTGAAGACTGTCGTCATAAATGATAGTGACGATGCACGAGAATATGTGGGAGCAGAACATACATTGTATAATGACTAACATTCCAGTAGCCACACTTTCCATGCTGCACACACCATTAGTCTCTTCCAGTATGATCACAATGTCAAGCATACAAGTCAAATCATAGCTGTAGGAAACAAAACATGCACCCATCAACTACAACACACAGCTACTGCAAAAAGAAATTCATATAGTGAGTGTTTGTTTGTGTCTTTTGAAGACTGCCTTGGGCTATTTTTACTTATTAATGAGTCACTCTGGGTAATGCTGTAATCCCATCTCAGGTAATATAAAAAGCCAAAGCCATCTGAAATTTCCACGGCAGAACTATTCTAAATTTTCCTTTATCAAAATACAGTCATTATATACAATTTTTTTTTTAGATAATTAATAACAATGCAATATCAACCATGTCCCTTTAAGATTCAAGTCACTGAAATTATCAAAAAGTGTGTGGTGTATTATGGAGATGGTTGTCTTCAAATAGCTCAGGTGAAGATGCTGCAGAAAAAGACTACTGAGACAGACTTGGGGGAACAAAGGAGGATTATATTTTCAGCCAGGTCCGTATCAGAAGTACAGATTGATGCAACAAAGTCGAATGTCTGAGAAAGCTCTTTTTAACTGGGTGCGTCCTTCTTTTATCCAGTGTCCTCACCTTTCCATATTTGGTCTTACTTTAAGTCTTAAGGTGTGCATCCTACTGTCACATCCTTACATAAACTTGCTATGGGTCTGGAGATGATTGCCAGTCCTCCTATGGTCGGTAACCCGGGTTTGTGCATCTCCCTTCCTGTGACTTAACCTCACTTGACGCTATAACTTAAGAATATGTTTATTTAAGATGTTGATGCTTTCGAACAGAACAGTCTGTACCTTTATGTAAGCTTCAGACACTACAAGTGGAATTTATGCAAATGATGTTCCTTTTTGGAACACTGGTTCACCTTACCTGTGTATCCAATCAGTTGCAACAGCTATAAAAAGAAAAATGTAGATATTGGTACATAAGGTGTAAATTATTGTCTCATTTCATGATGGCATCTCTCTGGAGCTGGTAAAAGACTAGGTTATTGACTCACTGTTTGATTAGTGACAACTACAGCACTATTATTTTGAGCAAATACTTTTTCTGTTAATTCCATTCAGGACTTTCTAATGGAAGATCTCTTCTGGTCATTTTTTTCTATTAACTTTGGACATTTGAAAGTATGGGTTAGAATTTTTATGTAGTTTAGGAGAGAAAACTGTCCTATTGATTCCCCTTCCCCTTTGTATCATTGTCTCATTTTTCAATTGTAAATGAACTGTATTCTTTTTTTTTTTAGCAACATGCATTTACACTGCATGCAACAAAAAATCTATTCACTACACAGGCTACACAGTGCTTTCTATACTCACAAATCTATGCATGAGTAGGTAGAATTGGGTTTAGTGCCTTACCAACAGATGTTTTCAGAGTCCAAATTCCTTGTCCAAATTGTGTGATAGGATAAGAAGAACTGTCTAACCCATAAAGACATAGTGTATGAGTGCGTTGGTGAATATTAAATAGGTGTAGTAGGAAGTGTTTGTGGAAGAGGACCCAGCTACTCACTGTCCAATTGGACCTAAATAGACTTGGACTTGAAAAAAGTGTATTCATAAAATGAAAAACAAAAGGTGCAAAACTAAACTTTGAAAAACAAAAATACTAAAGAAAAAATGTTGCAATGTGTGGAAGTGAGGGTTTGAAGGATCCATACGCAGACAGAACAACAGGGAACACAGGGACTTGTTTATTAGAAAAAAGACTAAGGATATGGCAAAGACAAACCAAACTATAACACATTTGCAGGGAGGCTAAATGGGCCAAAACTGTTATTGAATTATTTATTGATTGTGAAAAATTCTGACAGTGTTGTAATGTAATTAACTGGTGTCTGAGTTGCCGTACAGTGGAAAAGCCAACTGGTAAAGTGTTAATGACTGCACAGGGGTTTAGCTGTTTCCAACTTTGTTTCACAGCAAGATGTTTCCTGGTTTGAATCCCTTTAATGGATGGTGCTCTACCCATGTACGTGTGGCTTCCTTCCATTGTTGAGTGATGACTGTAAATGGACTCTATGAGTGAATGTGGTGGTGGAATGCACATAGCTGTCTCATTTGTCTCTGTGTGACCCTCTGAAGGCAACTAGCCACGCAAACAGGGTGCTTCCCCCCTATTGCCCAATGGAAACTGGACAGGCTGTGACCCTAAAAAAAGAGGCTGTCAGGAGTAGGAGTGTGGGAGAAAACAGGGGGAGTCAGAGGAATTATTTAAAAAATCGGGTTTTATTCAAATCCAAAAATTGAATCAAAAATATTGTGTAACTTTTGACAGCATTATAAACCCCGCAGACTCCATTCAAAACTTGGCTTTTTCATGGAGAGCTACAGTCAGTGAGCGCCTGAAAACCATTTGGATATATTTAGAGAAAGTTTGGAGAGAGGTAGAAATGATTTGGAGAGAGTTTTATCATTTCCAAATAATCTTCTTCCATACGGTTGGTATATAAATACACAGTATACTGCCATCACGATATACATGTTTTGCATAATTCTTTATTTTGCCGACAGTTTTATTCACAGGCTTTCTATAAAATGCCACACGCTTCAAATTCATGCCAACTGCCAATATGTTTAAGTCCAAGATGTACTACTAGAGCAAATGAAGGTTGAAGAAGCTTTACCTCGGAGTGATCCGATTGGATTCAAGGCCTCAGTGATTCATGAAACTTCATCTGCCCATCACTACAAAATGCTGAGCTCATAAAAGAGGTCAAAGAAACAAAACAGAACACTGGCAAAAATGTAAACAACAAACCAGGTGCACAAACAAACCGAACTGACCTCACAAAAGAATTAGCCACAAGGGTTTATGGGTTTATATTCTATCTGATCAGGCCATTATAACACAGTAGGGGTAACTAAACGGAATACAAATTATACAAATTATTATACAAATTATGTATTCACCAGAAACCAAAGTACAGCTAAATGTATTCCTAAACTAAACACCAAAAAGATCAGATCTCTTGAACTTTTAACCAACCAATAAACATTTTATTGGACACTAAAACAGTTTTAAGTTGAATAAATAATGGTGCATAAGGGAGTGATCGACTTTAATGGAGTGTGACCATGGGTTTGGCCATCACAAGGAGCAATAGTCAATGTTGATCTGTGTGAAAGAAAAAGGCACTGTCTAGCCTACATCCCATATAGGCTGAAAGAGTGTCTGAATGGGTGAATGGATTTACATTACCGAAATACATTGCAAAAGAAATTGAAAGGGCATCATAAGACTGTACTGCGGTGTCCATTTGACGGATCATGAGTTCAAAAGTATTTGGCTGCAAGGAAAACTGTGCCTCTGAGTCTTTTTAAAGTCTCTTTTCTTCACAACTCATCACAACTCATCAGCTGAGGCCTTGTTGGTATGACAAATGCTTTTTTATGTGCTCCGGTTACTTAAGTATTATGTCAAATGCCAGGACAATTTTGTTTGGCCAAATGTGACAGCAAAGTAGTTTTAAGATGGATGACTTTCCCAGTAATTTGTTGATAAGTTAGTCAGTTAAATCAACCCATGTAGTGGAAGTAAAACACAAAAAAATATTATTGATACCAACAACAGTGTTTATTCACACCTTGGTTATGTAAAGGTTATTTCAAACGTGACCCTTGCTAATCTGGCATTTGTTTTTTTCCGACAGTGATCTTGAAAAAAATGGCACGCAGATAGAGTTACAATGATCTGGATGAGAATCACCGCAGGGATGAATGTGACTAATAAGTCCTACCCAGTCCCATCCTACCATGGGGAGGAGATCCTGGGCAACTACACCTATCATCAAAACTACACACTCGCCCCGCCACTTCAACATGACAAGATAAGCACCCCCTCACCTGCAGCATGCGAGCAGCTCCATATCGCTGTGGAGGTGTGTATCTCTGTATTTGTGTGTGAATTTTCTCTTTTTTTGGTAACAATACAGATACATTTTGTTACTGATGTGATGAAGTCATGAAATGTGTTACTCTCTATGTGATCACCATTAATCCAACATTATTTTTGTGCTTTTTTTTCATTCTACTGTTGTTTTTTGTTTGTCTTCTACGCTCAGGTATTTCTGATCCTCGGTATCATCTCTTTGCTGGAGAACATCTTGGTAATTGCGGCCATAATAAAGAACAAGAACCTTCATTCCCCCATGTATTTTTTTGTTTGCAGGTAAAACTTTCGTGTTGATCATTAATGTAAGAAAGTGGCTAAACCTATTTTTGGCCAGCAAATCTCTCAATGTTGATGCTTTGTATCATTCATGCAATTTAACTCTAAGTCACATATGAGTTTAAGCATTATTTATTAGCAAGGTGATTATACAGTACACGAAAACATAAGAAAAACAACATTTTGTGTTCATGCCAACTTTTTGACAAACGTCCAACATGAAAATGTAAACAGCTGAGCTCGAAATGACAACCAAACTTGCAAAATATTAGGCTCAGAGTTACAAATTCAGGATAGAATAACTTACTAATCATCTGGCTTTAGGTTGGCTGCCGGTTTGCTTGTAAAATGCCCACATATATGAATGATTCTCAGGGAGGGAAGCAGAGTGCAATTCAATCCAACGTGGTTGATCTTTATTATTAAAGAGTAAAAATGAATACAGGGATAGCTTGCTAACATGTTAATAATGTTAGTTTTCACATTAAACTAAATGAACACGAACAGATTGTCTTTGTAATAATACAAATGTTATGGCTCAAAGCACCTAAGCCTCAAAGAGCAGTGAACATGAATTGGCATATGCCACATTACGTTCACTGCTCTTTTGAAAACGTTTTCAGACTCAGAATGAGAAAAAGACTAATTGATCTCACAAGTCCAATTAGGGAGGGTGAAAAGGGTGAAAAGCAGCACATAAAAAAATAAAAAGAGAAGAAATTACACAAAGGTGGAAAAGGCAGCATATTGTCTGCATTGCAGTCTGCTGTCAGAAAAAGTCTGAGTAGTTGCTTTGATGGTAATAAGGCAGAAGTGTACAGGTAAGTGATGAAATGTGTACTAATAATAATGTAAAATAGCAGATTCTTTATAACAGGAAATAAGTAATTATAGCATAGATTAAATTAAAACCAAGCAACTAAAAAAGCAAACATTTTGGAAGCAGAATCAGTAGCAAATCTGGCAACGACTAATATTAGTCTAATATTATATCCTATGTAATATTGCACAGGAGAATATTATGACATGAAAAAATATTGCACAAAGGGAAAATCTCAGAATTATTTAAAACCCTCAGAGTTTAAGAGTAGAAAATCCTTGGCAAGATGGTTGCTCTTTATTCTAGATCTTAAAAGCCAGCGGTTAGCGGTTCAAATGGGGAACACAGAGATTGCATAGTCACTAATAATATTAAAATCTGAGCATTAATCCGAAGTTTATTCATAGTGCTGGTGGGAAAAAGGAACTATAACACACCTTTACAATGTTGTGCAGGTGTTTCCTTTGCTATAAGGTGATGGATTGGTACCAGTAGTGTATGAAGAAAGCTAAGACACCTGAACTGAATGCATTGTAGAAAAATAATTCAGTTTCCTAAGTAGGATCCATCCTCTGGACTGGAGAGATGGCTAACTCTACTAGGTGACATTCGGTGCTCATGGATCTGAACTCATCCACGTACAATTTGAAGAGCTGCGGAGAAAGCATGCAAGCCTGTGGGCAGTCTGTGGAGGGGGTCAGGAGATTGGAGAGGTTATAGCTAATCTTGCCGGGTATTGGCGACTGATCAACAAACTTTTAGGTCGCCGAGCAGCTGATTAGGGGAAACTAACGGGCCAGACGCGCTAGTACTAAGTATGAACAAATGTTAAGGACTAAAGGTGACTATAAGAGAAAAGATAGATAAACACAGTATGTATAAATATTTGAGTCAAGTTCAAGACTGTACTGTAATTTTTCAGATGTTCAAAACGCCAGTCCAAAGGCTTCGTGATATCGCTTTATTTAATCTTCAGGTATCCAACATTAAAACACGTCAGTGAATCAGTTCATAGGCATCCATAATCCAACAAGCGGTCATCCAGAGTGAACGCTCACAGCAAATTTAATTCGATCAGATGTAAAAGCATAAAGTGTAAAGCGTAAAGCATAAGCGTAAGGCGGTCAAAAAGTAGGCTTCCCCCATCACCCACTCACTACTAAAACTGTCACCTTGCGAGTGAACAGGTGATATTTCAAATGCTACCGCTCCCAACACCACCCGACCAATTAGTGCACGTCATCACTATGGCACGCCCAAACCCATTCTATCCACTACACCGGGTTCTGTTGGTGGGAGAGTCCAAAATCCAGAGTTTGAGCTGGCTTCTCGTGTTGAGGTTCTAGTGGAGTCTCTCGGTAAAGATGCAGGATTGCAAAGTGTTAAGGGCCGAGAATAATACGCAATCTTGGCAGAAGAGTTTAGAAGGTCCAGATATTTGTCCATGGTGTTGCTTTGGCATTATTGACACCTCTGTGTCTTTGACATGCAAATGTAAATGTTGAGTTGGGAATCAGTCACAGTGAGAATGTGTTGCTTGATAAACCTTAAGGGCCCTTGCATCTTCCTTGGTGAGGAAAGGGATTGGTCTCAAATTTGGAGAAGAATTAAGGTTGTTGGGGAGAGATACTCGGGTCCAGTATCCAGAGGATATTTAAAAATATACTGTTGATGGGTGTGTTCACAGCCACCATTACCATTATTTTCAGTGTTTTATCTTCACTTACATTTAGTAAAAGCCATATTTAGAAGTGCAATCTAAAGTGCTCGTTAAATCATCAAATAATTTAACATCTCCTCAAGCATTTAGGCACTTGCAGCACGAAAATGTCACTACACAGCTGGAAGGGTTTTGATTTCAATAGCTGCATACAGAAATCATAGACAGTAAGGACCTTAGTAATTTTTTTTAAATGTATGTGTATGTGAAAGTTTTCATTAATCTATCTGGTTGTTACAGTCTGGCTGTGGCAGACATGTTGGTGAGTCTGTCTAACGCCTGGGAGACCATCATCATTTACCTCCTCAACAACAGACAGCTGGTGGCGGAGGAGCACTTCATCAGGCAAATGGACAACGTGTTAGACTCAATGATCTGCATCTCTGTTGTGGCATCCATGTGCAGTCTGCTGGCCATTGCTGTGGACAGGTAAAAAACTATTACTAGTATATTAATCATTTCCAACACATTTCTCTGGACGCTTATAATGATTTGCTTTGAGGTATCTGAGGAATGAATGTTTAGTTATGTAAATGTGCATGAAGACCATTTTCAGTGTTATATATTTACTTAAATGCATGCTGAATTACTAAATGTAAGTGAATCAATTAAATGAGCAGGTTATTTGTACTTTTATTTTTCACACTGCAAGTCACATTCTCCAATTCACATAAACTATAGTACAGCATGTCTTACTCTATACCGTGTTCTGGGCAACACAACTTTGAATTAACTTTGGAGGCAGTTCGGGATTCTGTGTCTAGAAAAATGTCTTATATTCTGACCAGTACTTAAAGTTCCGCTTTATATGTTATTTTTAATATATTTCTTAACTGTGAAATATACAGTGCTTTGAAGTTTTGAAAATGAAAAGTTTTGAATTAAGAGGAGTAAAATTAAATCTACACACATATTCCTTATGAAGCAATAATTGTAACACATTAAACTGATTTAGTAGATAAAATAATAACGTTTTTGTGTTCTGATGAAAACAACTTTGAAATTTTGTATGAAAAAAAAAATCTATTTCTTTAATGTTATTAAGTGAAAACAAAACATGAAAGTTGTTTACAAAAAAGGTAAATTAAGTAATATATCAAAGGAAACAGTATATATTTAATACAGAAAATGCACCAGAAAAGTAATTAAAGGGGATAAGGGGAAAGGGGAGTTTTTGGGGCAAATATGTATGAAACAGAACTGTTTGCAAACCATAACTAACTCCAAGACAGAAAAAACAAGGTTGTAGTAGACTAAAGAGAGGAAGTTATGGACTATAAGTGAGTGCATTTAAAAATGAAAAATATGTTTGAGCAATGAAACAAATAAAAATGAATTTATCTATGAAATAAGACTGGTAAAAAGTATGCGGACATGTCTTTATTTCTACAGTTTATGTCCTGGTGAACAAAGACATGTTTGGGGTTCCACTGTGCCCTCTTAGCTAGAAGAAGGGACATAATATCAGTACCTATCTCAACAATTCCATGAAATAGTTTTTTTAAACACAAGAGTGGAATTGATTTGCTCATAGTGTGCCAGTTTCATCATTTTTACCAGGTATTGCATGCTGAGCTAAAGAACACTTAAAACCTTTAATAAAGGTCACATGACAGCCATCTGTAAATCTGTTATCTTATCTGTTTGTATTCTGTTCCTATTTATTATATTCTTGGTTATTATTTCTCATAATAATACATTTAACATTACACATTTGTGCAATAAAATTTAAGGCTTTGTGCCGTTAAAATACCAAGGCACTGAATGATGTTAGAAAATTGTGGTTTTACTGAAGTAACCTAGCAAAATACTGAACATAATTTTACCATCCACAGGTACGTTACGATCTTCTACGCACTGAGGTATCACAACATCATGACGGTCAGGAGAGCTTGTTGCATCATTGGAGGAATCTGGACCTTCTGCACTGGCTGTGGAATCGTCTTCATCATCTACTCTGAGACAACTCCAGTCATAATCTGCCTGGTCGCTATGTTTTTCGCCATGCTGCTCATCATGGCCTCCCTGTACAGCCACATGTTCATGTTGGCCCGCTCGCACGTCAAGCGGATCGCTGCCCTCCCTGGCTACAACTCCATCCACCAACGGGCTAGCATGAAGGGAGCCATCACGCTAACAATCCTTCTGGGGATATTCATCGTTTGCTGGGCTCCCTTCTTCCTTCACCTGATCTTGATGATTTCCTGCCCTCGCAATCTTTATTGCGTGTGCTTCATGTCACACTTCAACATGTACCTCATTCTCATAATGTGCAACGCAGTGATCGACCCGTTGATATACGCGTTCCGGAGTCAGGAAATGAGAAAGACTTTCAAGGAAATCATCTGTTGTTATGGCCTGAGAAATGCCTGTACCAACTTCTGGGCTCTAACTGATAAGTACTGAGAAAAGATAATGAGAAGATGAATTGACAGGATGGGTAGAATACATTTGAAACACAAGAAATTCAAATATACTGGATGTGCAAAACACACACTGTTCAGCAGTCGAGTGTACCATCAGATTCTATCCACCAAATCATAAAAGCTGAATTGGAGACTGCCCCCATTAGTTTCTCTTAATGCTCCAGTCTTTTAATGGTTCAGTGTTGTTCCAGTGTATCCAACATTTAGACAAAGAGTTGATTCATGAGGTGTATTATCTAAACACCCAACCGGCACCATCTGAGGTCATGATATTTTGAAAGTGCGTCACAAAAAAATTGTGTTATTTTCTTTCCCCTTGACATATTTTCTGTCTTATTATGGCTCCCCTTTCAAATCAATGAGATCCATAAGTGTATGACTGATGAGACACACTCTGAGTCAGAGGTTTTTCCTACTAATATTAGTGAACTGTGGTGATTGAAAGACAGCTTATATATTTTCTATTAATCACATGATAGCAACCCCCAGTGCTGACTCAGCAGAGAATGCACATATCTCTAATTAACACTATACACGAATGAATAGCAGATGCATTGAAGTCTGCAAAAATATTTTTTTCTAAAAACCTGCTTGTCCTGGACATAATTCTTTTAATATTCTAAGTTATACACCGTTTTTAGTTACCATTCACCCCAATGTTACCACAATGTTTACTTACTACTATTGGCGAATATGTTGAAATATCTGTTAAATATATTTCCCTTTATCCACATCATGAAACTATATTTTTCTTTCAGCATTGCATTTGTCATATGTAAATAACATTTTGTTGGTCAATGCCCTCCTTGTGAATGGTGGAGAAACCCTCTACAGAAAAAATTGTGCTGTAAATATACATATACATCCTCACTATTTATGCCTTGAAAATGCTGGATAATTTATTCTACTTTGTCTATTTACAAATAGCTGTTGACTAAATGGTTTGAATTGGACCATATATTTCGATGGTCTTGAGAAGTCTTTTGCTGTGATTTGCTACTATATAAATGATGCTGAATGTCTCTCAGTTGAACATTATTTATATGTGGACATGGATTTTGACTAGTAAACCATTTAGTGTTTCAGCTCAATGAATGTACAGCAGTGCAAGTAAGGAGTAACTTTGCTATTTCTGTCAAAAAACAAATTCTAGGAGAAAGTCTTTCCTTTCAGAAAAAAACTAAATGACAAATGAAAAAAAGTGGCAGATATGGATGGCTGTCATGTAACTCATCAACAGCAACAAATCTAGCTGGAGGCTAAATAAGTGAAATTAAACATAAAAAGATCAAGATGGGTTGGAAAAGTGAGATGCAACATATTCATATTTAAATTAATTGAGCTCACCATAAACTCAGTTGTACAAAAAGCCATTTAACCCTATAATGCCAAATGTATCATATTTGATTCATACGGTTTCTGAAATGTTTTGCGTCTGACTCCTTTTGCATAATTTAATGGTAAAAACTTTGCTCAAAATCCTATTGTACACAATCAGATATACCTGATAACAGGGGCAGAAGACTACACAAAACAATTATCTTGACTTATCGCATAGTAATAAATTATTAATATTAAAAATGTATTTCTGTTAAAAGGCAAAATAATGAATTCAAACCAAAAAAAAGTAATTTTTCTGTTTTGTTTTATTCTTGGATCAGGCTTTAAAGGGTTAAGAATTCAGAAAAACAGATAAATGTATGTATGGAGCATACAAGGCAGCAAGCTTGCTTGATCAAACTTCCTTTTTCATCTCCAACAGGTTTTTAAGATGATAGCTTAGCTTTACCACTGAGATTATCCCCTTTCTCCTGATACACTGATCAAACTGTCTCTGCTTAATATATAAACTTCAAGCAACCCGAGAAGCCAGTTAAACGTTATTCCTTACTAGCCTGAGATATACTGTAGTTATACCGTTATATGTATGTCAGCAATAAGCTTTCTGCCTGCTGTTGTATATCTTCCATCCATGCATAGTTAACAACCAGCCTCCTCAAATTTGCCTTAGAGCTTTATGTAACATTGTCCCGGTGCCTAACTCTTGACATAATTTGACATAATTTAATCTAAGAAGTACTTACGGAAAATCAATGCTCTACATGTAACAGTTCTCCCATGTTTAAGGAAATGTCAGTGGTCTCTTAATTTTACAAGATAAAATTTCTACAAAAGGTGTGCCATTTGCATTTTGTGTTGTACTAGCTCTTCATTTAAATGTGCCATAAGTCCTTTGCAGTTGTAAGAATGAAATACATATTTAAATATCCACACAATACTGTACCATGACAAAATGTTGAAAATAAAATGTGTCCATTGGAATTTCTTTTCGATGTACAAAACATTATATTTACTTAGTGTATATTCAACTCCAGCATGTGTGTAAATTGACTCATTATTACTGACTGTAAAAGACTTAGTTCTTAATTGTTAACTGCATGCTTAATCTGTTTGAATATGTACAGTGAGACCATTACCAGTTGGGGAATAAGTCATGTGACCGATGGACTACCCATATCTCAAAATAAAAGCAGATGGTAAAATTGACATCTGTTTTGTTGTCCATATCTGTCTCATACTATCTCATAGCATGATATAACTCCAAAAAATATTGTGCACCCAAAGCACACATCATAGCAAGCCTGAACCAAGGAAAGTGTACCTTTTTATCAAACTAGAGTGCAAAAAGAAGGGTTATTTCCAATGATGTAAGGCCTTATACCAATAGGTAGGTAGTTTTGGTCGTCTGAATGTCTAAGCCACAGACTCTGTGATATGAAAAGATCTTAGGTAGATCTGTACAATGAAAGGTAAATAGAATTTCAAATTTAAAGGTAAATTGACTTGAGGAATAGACTTCCTCTATGAGCATAACTTCCAATCGGGGCAAAGAAGCATCTTCCTGAAGGTGTATCTAAGCTCTGCACTTCGAAAGGCATAGATAGCTGGGTCTATCAGGGCATGGCTCATCATTAGCACCACATGCAGCTGGAAAAGGGACCTGTAACACTCGCAATACGGATTCAGGGGGCACATCATGATGATAATGAGGTGCAGGAAAAATGGTGCCCAACACACCACAAACGCTCCAATCAGGATGGTGAGAGTCACGGCACCTGTCATGTTGCTCCCCCATGTCCTCCGCTGTCGGCGCTTGCCCCCGCCTCCAGCAGGGAGCGACGCAATGTTTTTGGCATGGACACGAGCCAACATGAACATGTAGACGTATAGAAAGCAGATCAGGGCCAAAGAGACCAAGAAAAAAACAACTAGGCAGATCATGATGAACCTGAACTCGAAGAACCTCACCATCAGTATTGCTAACACGCCGCACGTTGTCCAAATGAACCCCAAGATGGCTCCAGTGCGCTGCATGGTCATGATGCTGTGGTATTGCAGTGCATGAAATATAGTGATGTACCTGAAAAAGAGTGAAGAATAAAGATATTTAAGTGCCATATCATTTCTAACAACATGGTGGAGCCAAATAGTAAAAAACATCTTCACATTCAGTCACTATATGAATTCCATGCAACCAAATGGAAACAGTTTAATGAACTTTTTCAGGTTGCTCTGCTTCCCCCAAGTGGCCAATAGTCTATCATTGAAGCTTTTGTGAACTGAAGCAGACTTTAAGAGCAAAGTGCTTTGGGAAATGTATGAGGTACACTTACACATCATGTACAGCCTTTTTCGTAGTTCTCAATTTTGAATTGACTTCTTTTGTTTGAGATTGGTATTTTAGTCAATTTTGTTTTATTGCAAGAACCTATGTTAATAAAAATCGAAAAAAAAATTTTTTGGGGGGGGAATTCAACGATTTGGTATAAACGATGTCATAGTCAGACATGCAAAAAAACAGTACAGTAGTCCAAACATCCATGACTCATTGATCATACAAAAATCTTACAAATTGTCCTTGAAATTCAACTGAGCAAAACATAATCCTATGCTAATTTTTTTTTTTTCTGTTTGAAGACGAAGACCATAACAGGTCATTCAACAGCAAACAGAACAATGACTTGTTTCCTTGTTTATGCTCTTTGTAGTTCTGGTGATTACATAAAGCCAATAATACTTTTGCAATGTATAAAAATTATGCCTTCTAAGAAAGTGGTGATACCTTAGAAAAACAAATGCCATCATGGAATCAAATCTTTCCCTGACAGAAATTATAAAAAAAGTTATATCCGTATACAATTCTATATCAAGCTGTAATTACATACCGGTCAACAGCAATGGCCAAAAAACTGATAATGGAGCCCACAAAGGACATGCAAAGAAGGGAGTCCATTATATCATCCAGCTTGGTCGCGGAAAGACCTTTTTTTTCCAGGTGTCCCCCATCAGCAAAAGCTATCATCAGGTTCTCCAAGGTTTTCGTCAAACTGGCCGTAGTGTTAAAAGCAGCCAGGCTACATATGAAGCAGTACATGGGTGAGTGGAGGTTCCTGTTCTTGATGACGGCGATCACAACCAGGAGGTTCTCAGCCAGGCTCATCACTCCGACGGTGAAAAAGACAGCGGAGGGCACGTCCACCTCTGGACAGTCCGTCTGGTTCCTTGTGGTAATGTTCACAGTTAGCCCAGATACCATTTTTATCTAGAAGAAAAACTCACATGTGTTGAATTAAAAAAAAAAAATTGTGTCAAAAAAGCAGCTCAAAATGATAATGGAGACATTTCAATCCAGTCAAGCTTTCAACATTTTTATCACTGTTGGGAAAAATCCACAAGCTGTGTCTTCTGAATTTTAAACTTGCCATGAACCGTGAACTTGTACACATGGGCGCATCAACATTCAGCTTACATTATGCAGTTTGCAATCAAATATTTCAAATTTTTGTCCGTATGTATTTTTTTATAAGTCATCACACTAAAAAAGATATTGATAATCTCACAAATTGATTGAAAGATATATTGAAAAGGCTGACAGTGCTTTGATTTCAACAGCAGAACATGCGGAAATAGTTGAATTAGTAGACTTTTCCATGTGTTATTGTAAACAGGAATGAACAGCATTAAACTTGTTTAAAGTGTATTTACTGGCATGAGTCAATTTGTTCATGTTCGCCAAATGCAGAAGTTACTGTCTTTTAGATTGTAAGCAAAATAATAATAATTAAAAGAGAAGAAACTGTATGGATAAAAGACTAAAAAATAAAATGTGTCGCAACTGTAGGCAACTGCTTTGTAAGCTTGTCTGCTTTTTCTTTTCCCATATGTGAATTTTGATTTCAACAATGTGGGCGTTAGTTTCACTTCAGTTCAGTCTTTAACTTGAGAGAAATCTCAGGAGACAGCAATCAGTTTTCTATTGTTTTTTTTCAGCCTGTTATTGTCAATCTGGAGTTCACAGGAAATCAAAGTCTTGCTTGCTGTGATTAATGTGTTCAGATCCTCCTCTGTGCTGTCTCTGTTGGGTTGGTTAACATGGGTTGATGCTTTATGTGTGGAATCATTAAAAACTTGTGATTACACCAAATTCCATTTTTTTTTTCCTAATTCTTTTGCATTATGTATTGAACGGTGTTAACCTGTGCATTACATACCTCATCTAATAGTTCAGAGTTCCATTAAATGAAGAAAGCACTCTTAGATTTGAATGATGAAGCTAGATTTTTGTCAGTCTGGTCATGAAAAAATGATCATTTTTATTTACCAAGCTTCCATTTAAACGCTGATCTTTTATTAATTATGCAATTTTCTGACAGTCTCATTGAATGCCAAGGAAAAATTATAAAGGGAAAAAGATATTTGATAATTTACTAGTTTATTTATGATCTTAAATGCTAAATGATCCGTTTTTAGAATACATTTAAAAAAAAAAGAAATACCAATAAATGGGCTGTGAATAACATTATCATAAAAATTTAGGATTACACTGACAATTTAATTTGAGAAACATTAATTTCCACCTTGTTAAACAGTGATGTCTTTAATTAATCTTTAACTAGTTATTTAGTTTACTTTATTGCCAATAGGTAGCAGTCATGACTGCAGGACCTAAAGTAGACATCCTTATGTCTGCAGGAATTTAATTCTTGATCACTATTATAAGAACTTTTGAATATGACTAAAATATTTTATAGTGTCCAATAGAGTCCAAAAATATGGAAACCACACATTCATCAATTTTCTAACCATGGATGAGATACTATACTGGTCACAAGTGTGAGAAAAACAAGACCATACTCAAATGCACTGCTAGGGTTAATTTGGATAATTAAATCAAGGTAACATTTTAATTTCTGGGGAATGGAATGAAGCCAGAGAACCAATGCATAAATGTCCATAAGAAGCCCTAGCCAGGATCTATTCCTGTGAGGCAACAGCACTAACAAAAACTGCCCATTGCAGCCCTAAAATGTAATGAAACTCAATTAAAAACCAAATGTAATTATCTACAAATGATTTCAACCTGTTATTTAGGTGGATTGTAACTCACTGCTCATGCTGAGAAGGGGAATCTGGACATCATTGCCAGTGAAAATATTTAGGGTCTGAAAATACAAATGCAGGGGTAAAGAAAACATACATAATGTAATACAGATAGAAGAAACAAATATGGACCAATCTTCAAGGCCAAAATGTGTTGGGACAATTTAAGTTATTATCAGGAAATCAGAACAAAACATAAGTTTATAGTGTAAGTTTTCAGAAAAGTATAGCAGATACAATATGTGCATATTTTCTAAAACAGAACTGATGTGTCATATCCACAGATCTCCACAGATTTTGGCACAGGCTTTGGCAATATAATTGATTCATAACGTGACATTTAGAATTCTGCTTTCAAGTGCTTTTTATTTTTTTCTCATAAGACAAGGACAGAACTTAAAAGAGTTCAAACTGAAAGATTTGAAAAGCCATCTGAATCAGCAAGAAACACTCAAAGTGGAAGCAGAAGTAATGATGGATATCGATTTTTACATCAGTGCAAAATATCAGCCCTTCTCACCTCTACATGTATCATTTAATAAAGAGTGCCACAGAGTTAGGGTGTTTTTTTTCTTATTTAATGCACAAATAACAAACAAAGATCACTTAATGTCACATTTAATGTTTTCTTTTGTTCTCTAGCCATCATCAATGCAACATGATCATTTTAATTTGAAAGTCCTTACTGAATCTTTCATAAGACACAATAATTGTTAAAGGTTTGATAAATTCAAAAATCATATACAAACCTTACTTGTTTTCTAAACGTCAGCAGCAGCAAAATTACAAAATTACGTCTTCCTCAGAGGTCTTCTTGTGTATGTTTGGCCTTAACTTTTGCAGAGCATCTCCATGGAGCTGAGAAAATGTACCAGTGTTGAAGAGTGTTTTATACAGGATACAGGCTGATTGGGTAAAAATAGGACAGAAAGGATTATTATTTCAACCCTGAATAGCTGATTCACCAAGGCTGAATTCATGTTATTCTTTTCATTCATTTGTTTTTGCTTTCCATCAATGTCTCTATTTATCATTTGAACAAGTCCAGTGGGTGTATTGACCCAAAAACCCATCCTCTTAGGCACACACAAGATAATGCAAACTTATTTAACAGATGTGAAATGGAATTGCTAATGTCAAATTTCTTGAAACAAAATGAATCAATGTGTTGGTTAATTTAAAGTCTTATGGGCTCAACTTGAAAAAACAAAACCCAATAATTCATTATACACCATGTGCTACCCCTTCACTGAACCTGGTAGGTGTTAACTACATTGATAATTGTTGTGGGAGGGTGAACTCTTTTGACAGATTTAATGTTAAAACCTTATCATGTCATTGACATACTTTGTGCATGCTTATCCAAACGTACCAAAGCCTACACACATTTGTGTGACATCTATTTGAGAGGGACTGTGATGATAGGGTAGTGTGACCTGCTAAGCTAAGCTCCACTTACTTACAGATCTTGATAGTTGCTTATCAGACAAGGAAGTTCAGTTTAAACACTGAATGAGACATCACCTTTACAGCTTTGCGAATTCTGGAGAGACATGGACTTAAGATAACATTTCTGAATATTTATGTAACTCTCGGATTGTTTTTAACCTTGCTTGTGTCTAACGGTGAAGGTGAGAGGTTGTTTGCTGTTTTGAAAGGATCACAATGTCACAGACAAGGCTCTTTGCACTTTCTGTCTTGGCCATCGTACATGAACTTGTCAGCCATCTTGATTTTGAAGATACCAAACACCAGTTTGCACAGTCAAAGACCAGAAAAAAAAGCCAGTGCAAGATATATTTGCCAAACAAAAGCCATTTAAATGCAAACGTGCATTTCTTCATTATTTAGAATTAAAATTGTGTTTTTACCGCTTTTAATTATCGCCAGGGAGAGGTGCTGAAAAGATATTTTGAGCTGCATGAGGAGATCTGTCTGTTCACGGAAAGAATAGGGAAATAGATAACAGATCTTCAAGACGAAACTTTTCTGTGTGAAATAGTGTTTCTGTGAGACATCACGCCACCTTAATGTACTGAACCTGCAGCTGCAGGGACGGGGATGCGTCATCTTTGACATTTACACTACAGCGTGGGCATTTAAAACCAAGCTGAGTCTGTGGAAGATGAAGATGCAGAAAGAAAACTTTAGCCACTTTCCGAGCTGCCCGACCATGCAAAAGAACTAAATTGTTTCCTAAGAATAAGAATATACTTCATTTCATCAATACTGACAGGACAATTAATTTTGTCTAAAAATCTGACACATTACTTATATCCATCAATTTCATGGTTCACGCACTGATGCCATGTAAAGCATAAAGTACATGAGAGAACAACATTTTATGAACCGGTTTTATCTGATGGACAGATCATTTTGACCAACCAGCCCATTAATGGATTTGTATTACTTTATGCATTGCAGAGAAGATGTGAAGACATCATCCTAAAATACATATTTCACATTCTTGAGAGCCATGACTGTGAATTTTATGAGTTGATGACAAACTTGAACACCACAGGTAACACGGTGTTCAGTGTTTAGAGTATTAGGTTGAATGTTTCCTGTCAGGGATCAGCAAATTAGCTTTATACGTCATCACTACTTCACAGTCCCACACAGAAACAGACGACGAGACAGACAGAACTGGCTACTAATAGGTGACAAATATGATAGCTACCAAGATTGGCTTAAAGTCAACTTGAGCTTAAAAGGATTGAGCTCAAAGATACTGGAAAAAAAAAGATATGGCATACTAAGACTAAATGTAAAACAATATAAAAGCTCAAGGCTCAACTTAAAACGCATTTGTTCAGAATGGCTTTTTGCACGTAAAATCTCTGTAAACTGGGTTCTGTCACCAATGTATTTGTCTTTGTATATTTCGATAGTTTGATCTGTTTTTATTCTGTAAAGCACTTTGGTCAGCTCCGGTTGTTGTAAAGTGCTATATAAATAAACTCATTGATTGATTGATAATAATTTCTTCTTCATATCACAGAAACTTACTCTAAAATGGATTTTAAATACCCTCAAAGCTGAAATATCTTTTTATCAAAACATTTTAGATATTTCTATCCAATTCAAGTTTAAATGCAGTCCAGGCATTTTTTGTTAATTGTCCAATTATTCAATTTGAAAAATGGTCGTTCTCTTTTTTTTTATTTTTTATATTTTTTTTTTTTATATATATATATATTTTTTTGGTCGTTCTTATTTGACTTGCCGTGCGTTTGTTTTCGACGCCATGACGTCGCGTTAGTAAAGGGGCGGGTACTGGTTTAGACGTAGTGGGGTATACAGAGGCAGAAGCCGGGAGAGACGAGGAAGACAATTATGCTTTCTTTACAGGTGAGGGTTGGCACGGTTTTTAAAAGGGTAATATTCACAAATAATAATAAACACGTTCCGAGATATACGGCGTCACAGCTGAAGATAAAGGCATGGACAGCAATAAAAATACAGCTTCCTGTGAATGCCCCACTGATAGCCAAACAGCTAGCTTTAGCAAGAATGGGTTTGATGCTAAAAACGATGAGTGTAGTCAAGACAGGTTTTCCACTAGAAACAAGCGAGACAAAAAGGACAAAAACGTACCTTGAGTTGGTCATTTGTGTCTTTAATTGATATGACCTAGGTTTGTATTAAGTATTACGGTGTTTTAAGGTGTTTAGCCTGTTGACACACAGAAACATCCACGCTTTTCGAAACCAGCTTGGAACAGTTGACCCAATTATTCGTTTGATTGGAAAAGAAAAGCAAACCCAGCTTTGAAATCTGATACCACTAATAATGTTGGGAAAATGATTTAATTAATACAGACAGATTGCCAGGGGCTACGTATGAGAGAATGTTGTTAAAAAGAGCCATTGGCCTGCAACGATACCACATTGACATGCTCCTACTCATCCGTAATGTCTTTCACAGCTAAACAAACCGATTTGTTACCCTTCTTGTTTTCATATATGTTCTGTTCAAAATCATAGCGATTATTAAACCTACCAAAAATATCACTTACATTGTCCAGAAGTTGTTTATATGTATATTTGTGTGTGTACCCATGCATGTGTACAGGACTGTCTCAGAAAATTAGAATATGGTGATGAAGTTCTTTATTTTCTGTAATGCAATTAAAAATCATGAAATGTCATACATTCTGGATTCATTACAAATCAACTGAAATATCGCAAGCCTTTTATTGTTTTAATATAGCTGATTATGGCGTAAAGCTGAAGAAAACTCAAAAATCCGATATTCTAATATTTTGAGATAGGATATTTGGGTTTCTTAAGCTGTAAGCCATAATCAGCGATATTAAAACAATAAAAGGCTTGCGATATTTCAGTTGATTTGTAATGAATCCGGAATGTATGACATTTCATGTTTTTTAATTGCATTACAGAAAATAAAGAACTTTATCACAATATTCAAATTTTCTGAGACAGTCCTGTATATTGAAATAACAGCCAAAAAAACAGAATTTTTCATTGCAAAGTTGTTTTAATGTTTTTTTTTTAGTCCACACTGTTTGAATTCATTTCTGGTTGCCTGTGATCTACTTTCTACGTCCACATCAGTTTAGAAATGTATTCAGATATTCAAGAACCTTACATTTGTGCCTAATATACAACAGTCATGTCTCCACAGCATGTGATGACTGAAGCCTGACAGTGCAGGGGCGTCCAGCACGCGTCCAGCCTCGATGAAGAATGGAGAGTCCAGTGCACAGATGCAGGGATGTGGAGCACGGGCGCGGACACGCCGGGTCCAACTGCCTACAGGCCGAACAGCGCATTCCTGTCTCCAAAGGCGTCATTACTTCCTCTTCTGCCTCAGCAATGTGGTTCATCTGGGATACCTGTGGCATTGTCTGTGCTGTCATTACGTGGCTGTTGGTGTTTTACGCTGAGTTTGTAGTGCTGTTTGTAATGCTGCTGCCCTCCAAGAATCTGATGTACAGCATTGTGAACGGGACTTTGTTTAACACTCTGGCTTTTCTCGCCCTTGCCTCACACCTCAGAGCTATGTGCACTGATCCTGTAAGTAAGGCTTTGTTGGTAGTGTATATGCACACCAGTGAGTTAACGTTGCTTGCTGATACATTTTCTTTTTCTTTTTCTTTTTTATGGTGCACTTAACGTCTGCCTATTTATTACATCATGGTGAAAAATGACCTGCTTATTAAGCTAAGTTCAATGGTATGTGTTTCCTGCTAGGGGGCGGTACCGAAAGGAAATGCTACCAAGGAATACATTGAAAGTCTTCAACTGAAACCAGGGCAGGTGGTCTACAAATGCCCTAAGTGCTGTAGCATCAAACCTGAACGAGCACACCACTGCAGGTAGGACCAATAGGATGTTGATCACTGCATGAGGCCAACAATGTGTTTTGCTCAGCTATGCAATTAAACTCTTTTAATACTTTTTGCATTTTCAAAATAAATATTTATAGAAATAGTGATGGCTCCTCTACTTCTTCTGTTATGCATCGTTGTATAAAGTTATTAGATGCACACCTAGACCTAAACCTCATTTATTGTCATTGTACAAAACCACATAGTGGATTTTACAATGAAATGTTGTTGCTTGGCTACCAGGTAGAGTTGGGCTGCATGTGGGATTAGTATAAATCTGTACATAATTACAAAACCTAAACTATATAAATAAAACTATAATGTAGACGAACTGAAAAGTGATTTAGTATGAAAAAAAAGAAAATTGCTGTGTTATTTGAAAACATTTATTTCGGTTCTATTTGGTGTTATTTATTTGATAATCATTCACAAAGGCATTGTCAGAATACACTAAAAATGTAATTATAGTTCCTATAAGTCCAATTCTTATAATGCCCTAATTAAAGAGATCAGCATATCACATCAAACCTTCTCTTCGATTCAATCAACCATCATGCACATTTATGCAGGAACAGTGGAGAAAAAAACTGCCTGTTAACAGGGAGAAACCTTTAGCAGAACCAGACCTTGAAAGGATGACCTTCTGCTTCCAATGGTTTGGGTTTAACAGGAAAAGATAAAAGGATCAAGCATAACCATAACACCAGGCCAGAGACACCTTCTAAAAAAAGGAAAGAGAGACACAAGCTCATGACAACAATGATGCCAGATGTTCATGGAATACAGAGAGTGAAGCCAGAAATGATTTATGCAGTATAGAAATTGCCCAGCTCATTTATGGAAGCATTACTTGTAGTAATCTAGGCCTGGAACTGTAAGCTTTTTCTTATTTTTATTTGAACTTTTTAATCTTCGTGCTGTAGAAGATGTCTGCCTACCAAACCTGACCAGAGTTGAAAGGAAATATAAGTCAGCAGGTCAGCCTGTACTTGTTTCTCCTAGAAAAAATTGCAATCCATGAAATCTTTAAGATTGAATCGTTGAAGGATTTTCAATTCTACTCTTGATTTAAAAGGCGGCAATAAACAGAAGCTAAATTAGATCTTTACATATTAGAACTTCTACTGTCTTGCATTGTTTGCTTGAAAGTGATTCTAAGACATTAAATGTGTTGTATTCTTACATAAAAAACTTTCTGAATGTTCAAGTATTTTTTTAACACTGATTGATAAAATGTCACTGTATTTTTTCCTAGTGTCAAAAGCAGCTAGGTTATGCTGAATATATTGGTGGTGAAACCAATTAGTGGTCTAGAATAACCTTTGATACATGGAGAACACAGATGGAGAACACATACGGTATATAAACCGAAGATTTGATGTTGATTTAGATGTCTCAAGGAAATGGATACAAGAAGCACTATATGAATAGGATTTGTATTCAAATTCACATTGATGCTCTTTTAACAAACAACTCTTCGCAAATATTAGCACATTCACTACGTTTTTCTGTTGTTTATGCCAGTATGTTTATTAACTCTGATCCAGTTTGTTCAGTATGTAACCCCTAACGATGATGGAAAAGATTCAGTAAAGTTTCTTGGATTTGTTTATTTTTTTTCCTGGAATTAATTGCATTGTAAGTGTTTCCTGTCTCACTGATTTACAGTGTATGCAAAAGGTGCATACGGAAGATGGATCACCACTGCCCATGGGTCAACAACTGTGTAGGGGAGAACAACCAAAAATACTTTGTTCTTTTCACAGTAAGTTCAGTTTAAGAGGGAAACGCATCCTAAGGGGGCAGACTAAAATCTTTCACAGTGTGAAGAACTGTATTTTTTTCTCATTTATCCCAGATGTACATTGCACTCATTTCTCTCCACTGTCTGATCATGGTCGTCTTTCATTTCCTCTACTGCTTTGAAGATGATTGGACAAGTGAGTAATTTCTTTTAAATTTCTTGCTCTCATCTGCATGACTTAAAGAAAAATAAAATCTGATTGGGTAACAAGCTTCTTTTTTTTTCAGTGTTATGATACATTCCTCTGAACATCTCTTAATGAGAATTTTAGTATAAACCGAGTGAGATAGCAAGTGGTGGCAGTGACTAATATTTTGTTTGCACATAATCTGATTGAGATACATACTCATGATCATCAACTCTGCTTTTGATAATTCAGTTTATCTATGAATCTGTTTTTATATGCAACCTTTGAAAACCATATTGATAAACAGTTCTGGGATAAAAAAGTATAGTTGGGCACATATCTGTTTTCAGTCCATGAAAGGGTTAAACAAAATTTCGATTTCACAGTACCATAAATTCCACTCCAAGATGCAGTGTTGGACTTACATTATCAGACATACTGTTGCAGTTCTAGAGATAACCTACCGCTGACAGAAGGAAGCACTAATGTAATAGATGACTTTGAAGCAAATAAGGGGAATGCATGTTATTTCATTGAGTGTGACATTAAGTGTGTTTTTAAAACGTTTTTTTTTTACCTGTTTATTTGTTACAGTGTGTCTTCCCATAAGCTTTTGTATTATAATTATATTTGATTGTTTTCATTTGTTTTCCCCCATTTATCTTATGTATTAATTTATTTATGGTATTTTTCTATGCTTATGCTATACTTTTTTGTGGTCAGGCGGGATTTTAAAAATACAATTCCTCAGTGCTTTCAAGTCATGGAAAACAAAATTGGTCTCAGTTATATTTTGTTCTACTTGGTATTTTAGTTTTTTTTTTTAACAGTAGTTGCACATTTTCATTCCCTACACCTTCCTAGATGTTGTGTAGTGTACAGTCGTTTTCTTCAATAGAACTCTAGCGATACCTCCTAAAAACCTCTTCCTGCCCTTTCACTTCCATGTCCCTTCATCCCAAAGAGTGCAGTTCCTTCTCTCCTCCAGCAACAGTCATTCTCCTCATACTCCTCTGCTTTGAGGGCCTCCTCTTCCTCATCTTCACTTCTGTGATGTTTGGTACCCAAGTCCACTCCATCTGTACCGATGAGACCGTAAGTGACCCATTTAGTGACCTTCTTCCCTTCTGCTCTCTACTTTTCTCATGCTCCTTGCCTCTCCCTGTAGGACCTGCTGGTTTCCTTTTTCTTTTTGAGCAGAACAACTTTTAACACCTTTTAACTTTTAATTCGAGCTGTAAACAACATGGTAACGTCCACTTCTCTGCTGCATAGGGAATGGAGCATGCAAATTTAAATATTGATAATTTACTACCAGACTTTCACTGGCATATTGTCTTTAGATAAAACCGATAAGCAACAAAACAAATAAATTAAAAATATAAACTCACCCGATGGATCTTTATCATTTCCAGACAACCAAGGGAAATAAGTTGTCAATGATTGTTTACACTAACTCAAAAGCTCCTTTAGATTACATAATTGTATAAATTAAGTTTTGTAGTTTTATCTTTGAAGAGACGTCTTTACTGTGGAGACTATGAAAACAGAGTGCCTCAATATAGTGACAAGTTATAAATATTACATGTTCATATATGTCTCTCATTCTCAGCAGGGTATAGAATACTGTTAAACCATGAAAATACCACAGATCTCACCTTCTCACTTGCCTGTATTTGTGAAATGTATCGTTGTTTTTGATATTCTGATGAGATTACATTTCAGTTTGCTGTAGGCCCATTTTTACTTCACTTTCCCTATTGCATGTTTTTATTCTTTACTCACTTGAAGTATTCTTTTTACGATTGATCTAATGATTAATTGTTATACAGATAACTTTCATTGATTAGATTGTCATTCCCTATATCTGTATTGATAATTATTTAGTTGTCTTCCCCAAAACCTATGTAAATATATGGTAAATAAATATTGTATAGCTATGTAGCTTGTATAGCTATGAGATTAAAATGGAAAGATTCAAACATAAAGAATTTATGGAAGACAATCTAGAAGTAAAATGAATTAGGGCCTTTTTACTTGTTCATTGTGCTTTATCTGCACACAAAACAAATTTCTGGTTAATATACTCCCATTCCTCTTTAGTAACTAGCATGTATTAGAATAAAGCTTGACCAGTCCAATTTCTGTGTGCTGACACACATTAAGGCAGCATTCTAGAATAAGATGAATGACCACAGCAGTGGGTGTTGTAAGGGTTATGTTCCATCGTGTTGGCTGATACAGAAGTATATCAGAAGTATTGTGGAGGATCAATTTCAACATGTCACCTCAGTGCGACCAATGTGGATCAGTCACAGCTTGAAAGTCATATATGAACATAATATTGTTTCACTCTGCTATTTGCAAACAATTATGCAGACGTGATCATTTCATTGTTTATTGTGTCGAATCAACCTATAATACCAAAGGGTAATTAACTCATTGACTGCCAGAGTTTTTTGAGCATTTTGACTGATTTTTTAAGAGCCACAGAATAGTTTGTGCTATGACTATGTAAACACCGAACACTCCAAAAGAAAGAGTAGACTCTATTCTTTCATCAGGAAAACATTTTTGTTTCTACCTTATTCCGTTCTTCCTGGACTTGCGTCTCACCGGCGACATGTTCTCTCATAGAACCGTTAGCTTTTTCTTATTTGCCTACAGTCTATGCTCATCTCCCATCAAAAGTGGCACTGCCACCTAGAGGGTCAATTTGTTACTACATACTCTGTCTAGAAGCCGATATTTACGGAAAAGCTTTAGCAGATCGTCCCCCAGCCACTCTCGTTGAAAAACATAAAAGACGTCTTTGGCAGCCAATGAGTTAAAGGTTGACATTAGTTTTTACTTATATGAACTTCATCCATCCATTTTCTGAACTGATATTCCCAATGGCGTCACGGGGGGACTGGAGCCTATCCCAGTATTCAATGGGCAAGAGGCAGGGTACACCCTGGACAGTCCCCAGTCCATCACAGGACCACACAGAGACACACAAAGACAAACATGGTTTTTGGACACGGGTAGGAAGCTGGACTACCCGGAGAAAACCCACGCAAACACAGGGAGAACATGCAAACCACACACAGAAAAGGTCCTGGTTCCCTTGGGGACTTGTACCCAGAACCTTCTTTCTGAGAGGAGATGGTGCTTACCACCACACCCCCGTACTATGTGAAGTTTTTTTGTGTGGCTGTAACTTTGCATTCTACTGATACAAATTTAAATGTAGGTAATAGTCTTAAGTTCTTTCATTTCTCCATTTGCAAAACCTGTTCATAAATGTATTTTAACCCTGTAATGCCAAATGTATCATATTTGATTCATACGGTGTCTGAAATGTTTTGCGTACTTTAATGGTAAAAAACTTTGCTCAAAATCCTATTGTACACAATCAGATACACCTGATAACAGGGGGCAGAAGACGAGAAAAAAAAATAATCTTAACTTATGGCATAGTAATAAATCATTAATATCAAAAATGTATTTCTGTTTTTTCTTTTTACATATTTTGTTAAAAGACCAAATAAGGAATTCAAACCAAAAAAAACTAATTTTCTGTTTGTTTTATTCTTGGATCAGGCTTTAAAGGGTAAAATAGGTTAGAGGAATTTGTGGAATTCATGTAAATCTTTGATTTCTGGCTCCCTCCATATCTTTGGAACGTTTTTTCTTTGGAATACAATGTGTAAGCTATATGGTGCTGTTTAGGAAGATCCTAAATTTTGAATTGTGGTTTCTCCAGCCCCTTGGTGCAGGAAGGAGTTTTAAATCGCAGCAGGCTAGTGTACTACAAAATTAATCTGAGGCATATAGTATTTTTTTCGGCCACTTACCTCAATAACAAACTTGTTTATTTAAAGGATTGTAATACCAGCTACACCCTAAAAAGATATTTAAATGTGTATCCTCAAAAACAATAAGGATAGTCACACTTGTAGTTATGTAGAGGAATGTAAATACAAATTTTTCACTGCAATGGCATCATTTTCCCCTTCATGATACTCAATAAATATTTTGTGGAAGATAGGTTCAGACTACTGGCAAACATATTTCACCATGCTAAGGGAAGTCACTCATCACATTGCAGATTCAAGCTTCTGCATGTTTTGTTTATCCTGAAATGTGTTTATATTCTTGGGCATGTTGATCCTGTTGCGTTTTTATCCCAAAAGCAAAAGAACATCAACAATGGTGGACACAAGATTGCAATTCTTTACAAATGGAAAGACAAAGTTTTTGGGTTCTTTCTTTTACACCGTCTCGACACCCTCACCTGTCACCAGTTGATATGTAGATTTGAGATTCTCCAGAATAAATGAAGAATAAAAACAAAAATGTATATGTACAGTAGGGGAAATAAGTATTTGAGCCCTTGCTGATTTTGCAGGTTTGCCCACTTACAAAGAATGCAACGATCTATAAATTTAATCATATGTACATTCTAACAGTGAAAGAAAGAATCCCAAAGAAAATTACAGAAAATCACGTCATATGAATTTATAAAAATTGATAACCATCTGATGAGGAAAAATAAGCAATCTTTGTAAGTGGTCAAACCTGCAAAATCAGCAAGGGTCAAATACTTATTTCCGACACTGTATATGTACATTTTGGTCACATTTAAATAAGCATTTCAACTTTTTGGGAAAATGGTTGTGTATTTGCTAATTAAATATGTGTCTGTATCAGTGTAAGGTTAAATCACTTTCCTATGAAGTTTAGCTTTCTGTTACTCTGCTTAACTTATTAAGCTTACTCCCTAGCTGTGTTAGTGATGTGAACTTCAGCAAACTATTTGTGCTGTTTTGAGCTTCTTTTTGTCTGCAACTCTAGGACAGGGATAGGGAAACACTTTACCATGTCATCATTAAAAAATATATTTTTTTTTACGCATTAAGGCACCTGTGTTGCTTTGAGTGAAAGGCAACAAAACGAGGTGCATTACCTTTACGAAGAAAGCGCGCGCAGCTCGAAATGCTCTCCCTGTCTTTTTTAATTTAAAAAAGCAAAACATTTAGAATTCAGTCTCTGATTTTTCAACAGGTCACAAAACACACCAACTGAAGTGTGGCTGTTTTTTTGCTTTCAGGGGATAGAGCAATTGAAAAAGGAAGAGAGAAGATGGGCAAAAAAAACTAAGTGGATGAACATGAGGGCGGTATTTGGACACCCTTTCTCCTTATTGTGGTTTAGCCCGTTCTCCACCCCTGACCATGGGAAGGCTGAGACCTACCAATATGTGGTGTGAGAGGCTCAGCACAGGGAAAGACGGGGTCCCGTCAAAACCAAAGCGGGAAGGCCAGACCTCACTGAGATCAGCTATGGCAGCCCGTTTTCCCTCACTGCTCAACGCACATTAAGCCGCATATTGCTCACTAGCCATGGACATTTATTTATTTATGTGCTTTTTTTTTTGTCTTGCCAACGAAGTGCGCAATATGTTTGTGTTGCCTTCAGCGAGTTGAGTTGCAGAGAAAAAGAAATGCTGCGAGTCTGAGGTGTGTTTGAAAATCTGTGATTATTCTGTTTTTTTCATCATTTTCTTTCTGATGTACCAGAATCCCTCTTTGCCCTGTGGTTCCTCTTGCGTTTCTTGAAACGGTTTTGCCAAAAATACAAAATAGGAAGAGACATTTTTTATATACCAGTCGTCATTGTATCTATCTATGAAAATAGATTTGGTAGTATTAGTCAGCTAATGTACTTGAAACAAAGAAAAAGTGTCATTATCAATATATTTATATTTGATCAGAAATTGGTCAATTAGGGGTTAATAAACACAATGATCAACTTATGAGTAACAAGCCAGAAAAGATAGAAGCAAATACATGCTCAGAATGACCCTCTTAAGTGGTGCCAAAATACTTGCAGAATAATACTATCTAATGGTAGATGTTTGGCTTTAGATTCAAGTTGTCATTTCTGGTTTCCTTATTGGTCAGTACTGGTTTGGTAAAGTAATTAAGTGCGCTGAACAGTCAAATGTTATGTAATGCAGTGTTACTTATGCAACGGCATGGTCCGGTTACTGGTTTCATGGTATACCATGATGTGAAAAAGTCATGGTTTCAAAGTTACAAAAATTTGACCATTTCTACCATATAATTGATTGATTGATTGATTGAATACTTTGTCGATCTCACGAGGAGAAATGAACTTTCAGCCCGTACCAAGAACATACAAACAAAACACATAGACACATCAGTTTGGGAAGACCGTGGGCAGCCATTTAAGGGCGCACCGTTTTCTTCAGAACAAAGATAAATCAGGAAAGTGGTTGCGGGAAGAAGGGAAAAAAAGGCCCATGGGTGGGTTGGGCTAAGCGTCCATCTGCAGTTTCATCCAGGGCAAAGTTGCAGAATAACAACTGCAAGACTGCTCCTCAGCTTGTCTTTGGGTAGTAAAGATGTTGTCCATTGCGTAGAGACACCAGCCGACCAAATCCACGGTTGATGTTAGGCGTTAGGAAGTGAAAATTCAGAAAGAGGTTCTGAGATATGACAGGACAAAGATAGCAAGCAGGCAAAAAAAGGACAGGGGATGGAGCGGGGAGAAGAAGAAGGGTCTTATAGTGGCAGCCAGGGGGAGGAAGCACATCTAACATGATAACATATCTGCGGGGAGCAGAAACCCATAGATGCAAATCACTGTTTGCGAAATTTTTGGTCAAATTAATACCGTCTTCAAATGAGAAAGCTATCTTTAGCGTGTGGGATTAGCTAAAGAAATAAAATGGCTGTATTATGAGGCAGACATCTTGATGATTGTGCTGGTCACAACCTGTCCACGAGCGTTTTGGATCGTGCATTTCATTAGTTCTTAAGTAAAGACGAAACTACCAAATACCTCTGTGGCTTTAGCTGAGCTGTTTTTGTTGCTGAATGTGCATTATGAACGCCGACGTTCATACTTGTTCTTACATTTGTGTTGTGTACGTAACGCTTTATATTTAATTTTATTTACATCATAAATACATATATCTTTTTTTCTATGTCTTATGTATTGTTTAAAAATAAACTGTTCGATTATATATTTTTTCTTTTTTTGTTTTTGAATTCAGACATGTCAAAATAACTCATATTTGAACTTTAATCATACAATGAAACCATGATCTTTTTGACAAAGGTTATCATACCGTCAGAATCTTATACCGGCCATGCCTACTGCATTTATTTCTTTAGAAACTGACAAAACCAGCATGTTGAGAAAGTGGAATTAGATACATTAGCTTTGAGGCTTTCCAGATAGCAAAATATGATTGATTCAACATTGAACTAATGGATTCTTGTTGAAGCCTGAGATTTAAATTATACAAAAAGTGGTCCATGACTTATATGTTGAATCATCATCAGGTTTTCAACAATAACTGAAACTTTATCAATGTTGATTTAGCCATTAACTAAATTTGGATCTACATGCACATTTTAGTTTAATTTATATTGAATCAATGCAAGGAATAAATATTGATTTAACCATAATTTGAATGGTAATCTACATGCAGATTTTTGTTGATTTGATATTAAATGAAAGTTAAGGAATAAATATTGACTGCAATTAAAATGTTCAACATTTCTAAAGCTATTCACTATGTGAGGTCCATTAGAAATGTTTAATGTTTAATTTAAAACGTGATAAATCCCCAACCAATGATAATATGCATTTACCCAGAGTTCAAAGAGAAGGGAGGGGGTGTGTGATTAAACGATTGTATGGTGGTTGATCCAAAAATCAAACATTTTAACCATAATTCAACATTGAATTCACATATTTTGCTATCTGGGTTGTCTTACATAATCAACACAGGTCATCTAAAATGTTGTGCTGTAATATAAAATCTAGTATTTCTTTTAAACAGTCGGTGGGGCACCTGTGAAATTAAGAGCACAGGAGGATTCTGTAAAATCTGACTACTTCAGGTCTTTGTTGCAGAACCGGTTCTGAAAAGCGCAAAAAAAAATGTAATTTTGCCAAACAATTGCAAAAAAAAGAACAAAACAAAAAAACAATAAATGCACACTTGTCCCATTTACTGAGACATATCATGTGTGCAGTTATTTGAAGATTTTGTTCCACTACAAACCTTGGAATTTTGATTCAGTCATGTGTTTAATGGAAATTCATAATGTACCATACTTTAAACTCTTAAATCAGGCTTTCTCAGATTTTCAGTTTAATCATCACTTATAGTTTTCCCTTTCCTGACATCAGCATTTGACTGTCAGCATTTGATTTCCACTGAATTATCCAAAATGGCTGCTCTCTGCGTCTGTCATGTCTTTAAAATTCTGGTGAGCTCTACATGTTGCCCTCCTGTAGCATCTTTTTCAGATTCTTTCATACACTATGCTCAGCACAAAACTGTTGGGAGGGGCAGAAATTTATTGTAGTTTATGTCACAGCAAGTCAGGAAGTGTATGTTACTTATACTGTATATCACAGAATGCATTCCCCTGCCAAAACGTTTCCAGCTTTTGGTAATTAAAGTCTTTTTTGGATTTTATTTAAAGATGGTTTAGGATATTCTGTTGACCAAAATCCATCATTCAGCAAAAAAAGTTGTATAGGTCTTGTTGACAGCCTCTGGACATCAGCCTGTTTGCACAGTGAATAAACTCTTTTCCTTTGGATGTGTTTGGTGATTTTCATGATATGAGCGGGCCAATTTCAATACATCCCAACAATTTTAGGGTTACCCAAAAAAGCTTTAATCTAAACTTTCCTCGTTGGCTGGATTTAAGAGCATCTTTGGTGTTGGCTATACATTAAACCCAGTGAGGAACCAAAAGGGAAAAGTCACTCAGTATAAAAACACGTGCTGCATTTCTGTGCTATTCCGGACATCTTTAAAGTATTTTACACGGTATTAACTTTCATCAGTCATATATATATGCAAATACTAATAAAAAAAAACAACAACAAATAAAACAATTCAAGTCTTGTTTATTTTATTTTTAAGATTTGCTCTTGAATGAACTGCACTCCCAGAAAATGTGCATTTTTATTATTTTTTTACTATTTGTTCACATCTTATTGTATGTAATATTTCTGTCTGAATGCATTGAGGTTAATTTTACCATTTAAGTGACATTACAGCAAATTTAAGTTAATGCTGAGAGTAATGATTTTTTTTTTTAGAGAAATTTAAATTATTTCTAAATATTCTGCAGATATATCGGCAGATGCACAGAGAATAAATACTTCTCAGTTGCAATGCAAAACTGTGTTTGCTTGCTTTTTTGTGACATACGATTTTTTTTTTTTATTGTTTAAATGTTTAGACCCTACTGGTTTGATATCTTTCCCCGAATGCAGTTCTGTGCTCACATGACCCTTACACCCTGTACTTTCTTTTCATCCTTGACTTCCATCCCTCTCCTACATTGTCTGTAATTTGCCTCTTTCCTATGCAGTGTCCTCTCCACACTCATGCATTCTGCTTTGGTTGAAAACTCACTCTGCCCAAAATCTTTCTGAAGCATACAGCTCTTGATAACCTTGACAGAGGTAAGCTTGCAAAAAAAGATCACTTGAGCTTTCCCATCCAGCTTTTAACACTTCACCAGCATGCAGGTTTTTTCGTTGGAAGGCCAAAAATATGCTCTCGGTTCTTTTTCCTCCAAGCTTAAATTCAACCAAACATTGTGAATGAGTGAGCTGTGTGTGGACGCACGCATCAGTCTTATTTTTGACAGCCATTTTGTATTTTTTTCTCCTTTGTTTCTTTGTTATTTTTAATTGATTCATTTTACAAATTTAGCATTTTTTGAAAATAAAGTATATTCAAACAAGTTTCAGTTACAGGTTATTTGAATACACTCCCTATTGTTTTATTTGTCAATACTGGCCATGAAATTATCCTCCTACAACAATTCAGCCATCTCATTAAATCATGTCTAACAAAGTCGCTTTGGCCATGACTAATCATACATCATAATCAAATTCAAATATTTATTTTGAATGTATTTAAAGAACTAAGTATCCAATATATTTTTTGCGGACTGACTTTACCTAAAGTACAACATTTCTTCTGCAAACCTTCAAATCGTGGTAATCAATTACAAAAAAAGAAGTTGTGTCCTAACTATCGAGACCTAAATTACCTCTTGAAAAACAGATAATTTAGTTGTTGAGAAAGTTTGACAATTCATTGAACAGGAGTTAATTGAAGTCAGTATTTTGTGCTACTTGGCTGCTAGATATTCTCAAGATATTGCTGTTTTGTTGGAATTAGGAGAACTATAAGGTAGACAAAATTGAGAAAAACAGTGTCAAGAATTGCCAGAATCAAAACTCTCACTAGTCAAGTGCTGTAATCCTTCTTTCTGCCTTTCATCTTTGTACCGTCATCAGGTTAAAATATCAGTGTTGGCCTCTCGTCTTTATAAGAGAAGACATGAACTCTTGATGGCATCAGCCATTTGTTCAGTATAAATTAGCAAATACTTGACCTTCCATTTTCTCAGTGGATTTTGTTAGTTCTATTCAGAATCAGAATCAGATTGAGAAATACTTTAATAACCCCAAAGGGGAAATTATTTAAATTATTCTCATGGCGTAGTCAAATTTCCTGGCCAGTATAAACAGGATAAACAAATACAGTCAGATTTTAATTATATATACAGGACTGTCTCAGAAAATTAGAATATTGTGATAAAGTTCTTTATTTTCTGTAATGCAATTAAAAATCATTGAAATCAATTGAAATATCGCAAGCCTTTTATTGTTTTAATATAGCTGATTATGGCGTACAGCTGAAGAAAACTAAAAAATCCGATATTCTAATATTTTGAGATAGGATATTTGGGTTTCTTAAGCTGTAAGCCATAATCAGCGATATTAAAACAATAAAAGGCTTGCGATATTTCAGTTGATTTGAACTTTATCACAATATTCTAATTTTCTGAGACAGTCCTGTATAGTAAAAAACTAAATTCAAACTGATATGTTTAAATAAAATGTTGTTAAGACTTCAGTTTTCTACATTCTGCCCACTCCACTCCAAAGTCTCACTGTTGTTTTCTGTTCAGGGTATTGAGCGGCTGAAGGGAGAGACGGGAAAGTGGGTGAAGATTCCGTGTTGGGAGGCCATGCAGATGGCATTTGGAGGCCCTTTTTCTCCGTCGTGGTGCAGCCCTTTCACTGGCCTGAGCTGCAAAAAGGACCCGGTACAAAGGACCCTCATTACCATCACACAGGGAGAGATCATTGAGGAAGATGTCATAGAGATACCACTAAACTAATTGCACACGGTGAAGAATATTTTTAAGACATGCAGGATTTCTCTAAAATGCAAATATACTGCTCTGAAAGTTGTGCAAGTTTGGAAGTGCAGGTTCCCCCTCAGTGGAAATAAATTGTTTGCAAGAACGAATATGATCAACTTCCAAGCTTGTACCTAAGGTCTCTCAGGAGAACACCACTAACTAAACATTGAAGCACAAAAGCTTATCCTCATGTCATTTTGCCATCTCTGCTGCCTTGAAGACTTCAACTCACTTAGTGCCTTATCCTTTTTAATTAGTAAATGTTTAGAGTAGGACAGTCTTTGTTGTTCAGCTACTTTTCATAATTCCATTTATTTTGTATCTGGGTACTATCTTATGTTAGTTTTCTTATTTTTCAGTGCTCTACATGTTCATTTATTCCCAATCCACGCCACTTAGGCTGGGTTCTACATGTGAATTATATAGATATGAGTGCGCAAGCTGCTGGAAAAAGGGCTTTTTAACAGGTGAATGGGTGCTGAAGACCATGGGACCAGTTATACTAGCATTAAAAAAATATATATAATATTACTTGTTTAATTTTATAAATACGCAGCTATATTTAAATTTGTATCTATACCTTCCAAACAATACTTTCTAAGACTACGGTGAAAATACTCATCAAGGAGATATAAAGGAATCTTGGTGTTCATTGTTTGCTTGTTTCAAATTTTCAGTTTTACATTCAGGGTGCTCATTTCTAATCTTTTCAGATTTTGTTGAAAAAACAACTCAGGAATAGAATTTGATTCAGAGAACATTTTAATAGTTCGTCAAATATGAAATTAAAGACAACTATTGGGTAGCTGTTAAAAAAAACTCCCTTTCAAAGAAGATACTTAATTTGTACTTTAAAGTCTCACTGATCAGCATGCTGTATCTGATTTCATCTCAAGTGAAACTGGAAATGCAAGGTTGACCGGTTGCTCCTATTTAACCTCTTAAGCTCCAAGGGTACTTTTACAGTTCCAGCTCCTGTTGACTTGAGACATTCTCAACAATTCTGAACTCTGTGTAACATCTTGGTATCAAAATAAATATAACATTTTAAACATTTTTTCTTTTTCTTTTATATCCCCATCTTCAATCAAAAGTTTAACATCTGACATATCAAAAACACAGTTTTCCAAAAAGACTATTCTATCTTTTCCCCTGTTGGACAGAGACTGCACCACTTTCGACTTGGAAGTATCACGGAAAGTTGTAGATGAGCTTCCTCTGGAATTTTTCTGAGATATATTAATTGTTCTTTTTGTGTTCCTCCTGTGAGAGTGTTGGATGTGTTGTCCCATGAAGCAAAAGCAGTCCAGAGAGAGTCAGACAGATGCCTGCCCACCATAAAGCCGCATGGGTTTCTGCAAAGATGAGTTTCCCAAAGATGCCCTGAACACACACACACACACACACACACACACACATTTGTGTCACTGTAAAGTTAATGTGAATCTAGCATAATAATTTCAATAGTAAAGAGTTTTACCATGACATTTTAAAAAATTATGCATATTTACATTGCTACAGTGTTGTGTAAAACGTGTCAATAAAGAATACTTACAGAAAAGATGAAATTGGAAGCAGTGGTTGTGACAGTTGCTGTCGCTGAAGAGGAACACTTCTGGAGAGCTTTGGAGAAGAAGGTCCACATAATGACGTTACACATGAACAGCAGGCCCACGCACAGTAGTCTCAGGGGATAATGGACCTTAAGAGAGGGGAAAAAGTCAATGTTTTCTGTACCAGGTTGTTCACCACATCAATTAGCATGCATTCAAGTCGTGTACAGGTTCTTGGAAATGTTGCGTTCAAGTCATAGCAATTTTTGGGAAATCACAACACTAATCTTTGTCAAGATCTTAACGTAGGAATAATTTAATGTAACATCAGACATAAACAAAGAAAATAAAGATAAACTGTGTGTGCTATTACCCATTCACAGACTGCAGGGCTGTCGTGGAAGTCAGTCCATTCTCTCAACCCTGTTTCACACATTTCTATTACGTAGTCTGCGCCAAGTGATAACTTTGCAGACAAAGAGGCTGCAGCCCCGAGAAACCCCGCTAAAGACGCGTAAAGAGACCCCGAGATCATTTCTGGCGGAGACGTTTCTCTTTTAAATGACAGGTGTCGATGTAAAGTTTGAGTTTAAAAGGATATGGACATGTGGGATCATCTTTCCAAACAAAAATAAAGGCAACTAGGGCGGTCTGGAATTGTCTTAAGACTGATCTGGGCTCACACAAACATATCTAAAAGCTGTATGGAAGCTGTGATTCTTTTTTTTTCTTTTTTTTTTGCTGTTAGGCCATATAAATGGTCTGTTTGAATCAATGCTATGTGATTTATAATTAAGTCTTGAGTGAATAATAAGCTGCACAAACTGGCTATTACTACGCTATCTACTTTAAATTAGCTTGACTACAACTGCTCGAAAAATAATGGTCCTATTAATGACAATCTGGTCGTCTCAGTGGCTGCTAAATCAACTACTAACCACAGAATCGTGTAGACGAGGAATTGAGTCATTTTATTTTGGAGAGCCTACCAATTTTTTCCCACCATAGCCTGACTCGAGTTTTACACCTCTGCCAATCTGTACAGTTTCCGCTTTGAAGCTTCACGGCGCCCCTTTATGACGTCATTTTAGCGTACTAATAAATAAGACCTCGCTGTTTGTTTTGCTTGCCCAAGATGAAAAAAAACAAAGCCAGTGGCGTTGCATGGGTGAAGCCAGCTGAGCCCTCTTTTCTAAAGAAGTTTAAAAGTGATGTTGGATACAAAGAAGGACCTAATGTTGACACTAAGGTAAGGTTTTTGGTTTTTTTTTTGTTGAATAGGGAAGCTAACGTCCTTGGATTCGGTTCATATCGGAGTGACATAATTGCTTTGGAATGAATAACTCAGAAGAAATTTTTCGGTATGTCATCTAAATGTCAAATTAACCTTTCTTGGGTATATAGGGTGTATTTTTATTTACTTTTTGCACGTTTTTGTGTTTAATCCATTCTGCAGTTGCATCCCTTTTGTTTTGATCTATTGAAATTCAAATCAAACAAAGGTAAAAACTGTACAGCTATAGCAATGAAAAACAATCTATATTACTTTTATATACAGCTTCCTTTCTGTCACTGGCTGTTTCTGTCTTTTGTAGCGTCAGGTAATGCCCGTCCTGGATGATGACAGTGGGAGCGATCGAGAAGAGGAGTTACCTCAGGTTGTGGTGCTGAAAAGTGGAGACCTGACTGCAGAGGAGGTGAAGACGATCAAGAATGAGATCCATGTTTCAGATGATGCTGCAAAAGGTCAGGATGATCTTTCGAAATATGTTTCAAAATAATGTAAATGGGGCTGCCTCAGAATATAATGTTCTTGACTGCCGAATGATAAAATTTGCTGGCATTTATCTGAGGTAGCTGCTAAATTAAATATGGCAAACAAACCCTTGTCTGCTCCATAGATGCAGCTCCTCCTGATGGAAAAATCGTTTTCAAGAAACCAGCCAAGCGCACCATTTCCAACAAATATCATGGCATCACTGCCAGTTCAAGCAAAAAGAAGAAGAATGATTGTGTAGAGGAGGAAGAGGTGGTAAAGTCTGGAACGAAAATAAAAAATAACAGTCTGTTGTCATTTGGAGGGGATGAGGAGGAAGAAGATGGTTAAATGTTACCTGTGAAAAGTAAGACTGGCAAAAGGGATGTCTGTATACAAAGGTATTTACTGCCAGAAGATTAGTTCTTTTTGATCGGACAGACTTTTACCTTCTCTCAGTACACCTGAATATTTTTGCCCAGCTCAGTTAGCTGGGAGCAAAAAATCTGGTAAACCTGATCCTAAATCATATAGAAACTTGCTCCCTCCTTTGTTTTCGAATAAATCTAAATAGCTAAACAGAAGCATGCATAGATCATATTTGCGCCTTTTCTATTTCCAAAACAATGTTGTCAGATGGCCTAAATATTTTTTTTCATTCAGATTTTAAATTAATTTCTGTTTCGAGCTATTTATTTAGCTCTGTAGGCAGCTACACAATGAAGTCTATTGTTGGCAGGAGTGCATAATAATATGCAGTTTGTCACATTAAAATTTTTGAAATTTAGGCTTTTTTTCCGGTATCTAGTTGCATAAACTGCAGTTGCATTAAATAAAAAATACCAGGCAGGCATTTTCAGAATACAAGCTGATTATTTAATATTTTGATATTTAAACACTTTGTGATGGAAATGTAAATACTTTATATTTTCTTATTCTGTTAGCACATTCCACGCTGAAAATTACCCTTATTCATGACTTTATCATTCTAGTAGATAAGGGATTCAACTCATGCCGTAAGGCCTTCTGCAAAAATACAACAAAACTATTGCATTTGTCATATCCTGAATGCTTTAACAAAGGAGCTGTGTCAATTTATATCTGTAATCTTGTTAATGCTGTTGTACATTTGAGTTTAAGTGCATTTTGTCAGCTACTGTTGTGATATTTGATAAACAATGAAAACATCCTTTTTAAAAGTCCTTTATTTTTGAATAAAATGCGGTCACATTGCACGTTTTCCTATTAGGTGTCTGAAGTAACAATCTCTATTGAAGGTCCTAAGTATGTCATACATATGAACACATTTAGTTTTGCTGTTTGCAGTATTACAAATTAAACTCTGTAGCTCACTCTATTTTATTGGCACAATGGTGATTTAGATATGTGCACTGCATTGATTGGTTTTGTGATTCTCTCATTCCTCATCTGGTGTAATCACCATATTACAATCTGAGGAATGTTTAATGTATAGGAAACATGTTTTTCAAGCACCTGAAAATACTTGATACGGGAAAAGCATCTACATATCAGAAAAAGAAAACAAAAACACCAGTATAAGAAACTGATAAACACATTTTATATATGCAACTAAAAACGTTTTTTTTTCTCAACCCCTTTATTAAAAAAGGCATATTTCATTCTCACACCAGAATCCAAATAAGCACAATTGATAAAAAAAAGCGTTCATGGTGAAAATCCAAAACAAAATAACATTTTGAATTCTGTGACAGGATGCTGTGGTTCTTTGGTTTTTATACACCCACTGACTCTACAGCTCTGGAAAATTACGTTTGTTTTTCTTTCGTGTAAAGGCCTATACTTTTTGGTCCTAAAGCCACCAAGGTACTATGTGTTTCTTGTGAAATCTTGGCTGTTGTGTTTTCAAGACGTGTTTGATTTATTCCAAGTTCTACACTGTTATTTTCATAGTTATGGGAATGATGCCTATTGATTCTGATAGTGTGTCCTTAAAAGTAATTCTTTTTTGTAAGAAATAACAAAAGTAGTTAGCTCAATAGAGAAGCTGTAAACAAACCAGTTGAAACCCGTTCTGATGGTTTTACAGTTATATTTTAGAAAATATACGTTCCATTGCATTTGTAGATTTCTAAAAACCGGAAGACGGCAACACTGCAACAATCTATCACTGTAGAGAACAGAAAGAATATGAGAACAAAAAAGATGTCTTTATGTAAGCTGATAATAATATTAAGCTGGAAGCTGAGTTCCCTCTAAAATGTTTGCTATTATTTGGCAGTAGACCATTCTTGTCAAATTTAGAGGTTTGTTCACAACATATCTCATCTTGTGTCTCCCTGCTTGAGTTCTTTTTAACTGCATCAATGTGTGATAACAGATATGTAGCCAAAGAATTGTAGGTTATATCAGACTGAAGTTAGATGAAGTACATTGATCTTGACACTGAAAGAGTGGCTTCATTTGAGACCTAGTAGTGGTTGATTTTCTAAATCTGTATAAATAACACAACGTAAAGAGCAAGTGTCATTCCATGTCACTTCTCAAGAACAAAAAGAAAACTCAGTGTTTGTGTATTACCATGGTGAAACTTAAATATAAATCAGATCCAGTCTGTTTTCCCCATTCACACTGAATTTGCAATAATGCCTAAACATAACTTTCAAAAGACGTGTATAGTGACTGTATTTTGCAGTCAACCAACACAACAGTAACAACCAACACAAACGAAACGTTTGTTTTGCTTTGTGTTAATATAAACTGTAAGAGAGGTGTCTGTCATGTTCAACACTTAATTGTAATAGGTGTCATTGTTTATTGGTCTGAACCCCGGCCTAAAGTGTTCCACATTTTGATGATGTGGCTTTTGCCATCAGCATCTTGTTTGAAGAGTTGCCATGGTAGCAGAAATAAAGTTGTAAAATCAAGCTTCCGTGCCCTGTGGAAAATGGCTTTTCCTGGTATTTTGCTTTGCCCATACCTGGGTAAATTTATACAGTGTACATGTGTCTTCGTTGCACATCATCTTTACACATCTGAATTATGCTTTTTCTTAAATATCTGAATTATGCTATTTTAAAAAATGCCTTAATTTCATTTAACTTCTCGTAAATAAACTATAAGGCTGAAGTTCCAAGGAAACAGCACTTTAGCCCATCATGGCACAGGATGTTTTATTGATGGTCTTTTACTTTATTCTTCAGTTTTGTAAAGCTTTTAAAGGTACTGTTTAAACTAAAAAAGAAAATCTCTGTGAAACATCTATCTGTGTCTGAAAAACAAATAAAGAAACAAGACAAATATGTGCAACAACAAAGTATATTGAGTCAAACCATTGCCCTGGGCTCTGCTGTTGATCCTTTAAAAAGAAAAATTCTCAAAAAGATACACTGTTATAAATATCTACTAGCGACCTGAGATAGATCTGGCGACAAGTAACTGGAAGATGCTATTAAAGATGAGCTCCAAATATTTAGGTACGCAATTTAGAAATGACCATACTTAAATAAAGTTTCTGAAACGAGAGCAGCAGCCAAAATGCTGGCAAGAATGTGAACGTGATATGAAAAAAGTGATGTTAAGTACTATTAAGTAAACTCAGAGTAAAATCAAATGACAGCGTGACATTTTTGTTCATGAACTATTATTAACCTTCAGGAAGAAACTACTTTGAGAATTTTAGCATATCACATAATTACTATATGATTACACACACTAAAGATGCTGTGACACCCAAGTGGAATAGACAAGGATAAAGACAAGGAAAAATACCTTTTAAGAGCTGTAATTCTGCCTAGTGGAGTCAGTGCTACACAGTTGATGCTCTGCATGGTCTCTGTTTTCCAGCTTTTTGACTTTATAAATCCTGAAACATTTGTGATCTATTTCTCAGATGTGTAAAGACTTTGTCTGACTGTCTCTTACAATACATGATCTGCAAAGCAGTTATTGAAAACAATGTACCTGCATCTCTCCAAAGCGGTAGTAGGACATTTTGTACATAAGGCTATTAAAAAGGGTGGGGTAACCAGCTTTGTCCACTCTGAATTCGCCTTGAGTGGTGAAGTAGTCACTTTCCCGTTTTTAGAGGGGAAATAAAGGTAAAACACAATGATATTTTGATGCAATCTTTTATTATTCATTGCTGATTGTTTTTTTGGGACAGAAGTTTCCTGCTCTCCCTCTGCAATGCGCACCATCCACAAAAACTTGTTGATGTCATCCCCTGAGTAGCCAATCACCCCTCTAAAGATTATCAGAATTTAGTCAACATCTAGATATCTCATAATTTCGTAGGCTGCAGTCTCATTGGATGACATTGGTTTGCCCACCTGAGTGATGACAAAAAGACTTAAGTTTAAATTCCAGGAAGGTTTAAACCTCCCCTTATTTAAGCCAGTGTGCTTTGTTATTAGCTGGTGTAAATCTAAAGCAAAGAAAACTATTTTTGGAATATAGTTTGTCCAGACATTGTACTGATCACAATTATCTCAGTCTGTGCCAGACTGTATCATTTCCACAGAAAACTATGAAAAAATTGGTAGTGAAGACTATGAAGGCTATGTCTTTCCTGTTTTATTGCAGTCCAGAGAGTAATTTTCTTCCACTAGAAACTAGACACCATTTATGTTATATTCTACCGAGGTGTGAATGTGCATGCACATTTTTAAAGTCAGTTTTAGGAAAAACTGAACTTATAGTCTGATGTTATTAAGCCAAATTTTCAAGAAATTTGGGGTTTTGTCATTTTGATATGAACACATAATTTACACCCCATTTATAGTGGCATGATAAAAAGGCAGTTTTTACAAACACAAAACTGAAACGCTCATCCTAAAAGCAAAGAAAGGAGGAAATCTATTTTATTTGATTGTGTTATGTCCTTTATGGCAAAAAGATGACAACATTCTGATTTAAAAAGTAAATATAAACTTGCAGATATTGAGAAAAAAACAACACTGAGACAGCAACATGTGCATCAGAACACACACTGCATCTAGACTATGGTCGAAAACTGACAATTACTAATTTGTCTCCATAAAAAATAATGCACTGTAGCCCAAAAAGAAGCCAATGAAGCAATCTTCTGCCAAAAATGTGTTTTATAGTGTTGTCAAAGGTGTGTCCACCTGTTTGATAAAAAGACAATCAAGTGGACAGATCCCTGTTTGACCACACTATTCCTTTTTCAGTACCTTCTTAGATCTTTACCAAAGCTTTTACTTTTGTTTCTTGGACATTGTCATTTAGTTACCTCTTTATTTAAGAAGAATCTGGTTGCACTAAGTTATGGCGTAAATCTACAGTAGTAAAGTTCCATATCTTCATGGTTTGTCATTTGTTTACATTTTTATAGAAATTATAGTATTATAAATTACTCTCTCTATGTTATTCTTGTTAATATGGTAAAAAACAACAACAACAACAACCTTGGAGTGGGCATAAAATGCAAAAAGGCAACTGATGTGGAATGGATTCATGACTTTGAAAGAAATGAAAAAGATGACAAAGCTGATACTGGCAAAGAAGTTCTGGACTAAACTAATACTAGCCAAGGCAAGTGAAGCGGAAGATGTCCATGGGAGGGATCTGAGTATACTCTAGGTAATTTATTAATTAAACAATTCGAGGTCTTCTTCGGTCGAGAGAAGATCGAGAGAAAATTTTGGATTTGGCCAAAAGGAGGAGAAACATTAGCTTCAGCAATATGAAAATCAACTTCTTCCCTAATATTAGTCTGGACTAAACCAAATGCCGCAAACAGCTCGTCCCAGTGCTGCCAGCAATTAAAACAATACACATCATGTTACCTCATTTATCCAGCGCGCCTGAAGGTCCAGCCGAAAAGTCCATCTTGAAAATGGTCTTGACAGTAAATCCGCCACCAAATCATAAAATAGCCATTACACCAACACAACTATATTTCGGTTTGTTTGCTAGCTTTGCCCTGATTGGATATCTGACTATCCAATCAGCGGGTGTGGATAAGTTGACGTCGCCTAGGCCTTCGAGAAGGCCCCGGCATGACCAACCTAAAATCTGATTGGTTAAAGCAACAACGTACTCGACATGTATTTTCTGTGGGGGGGGGGGGCTGCAGAACGGATTGTGAAGGCCTCCTGGCAACAATCTTTGACTCTGACCCTGCCTAGCGACAAAGGACTGAAATGTGATTGGTTAAATGCTTTTATATGAAAATGCATGTCGGGAAGCAGCGCAACCAGGGGGAAAGCTATGAAAGGAAGCTGACAGACTATTTAGAGATATTTAATACGTTTCCATGGACAAAATGTCATTAACATCAGTCTGTGATTCAGATATTTTCTTAGGCCTGCAGAGAAGGCCTTGCAGGCCCTGACGGCCCACCACTGTGCGCTAATAACAACAATGAACTGTGAGATTCCCGATCCCTGACCCATCTTGGAGCCCAGAGCTAAAGCTAGCCCGCTTTACTTCATCCATCCCACATTCAATCAAACCTGTTGAAATCATTTATTTGTCTTGGCTGTGTTTTTGGTTATAATGTTAACATTACCATTACAGATTCAGTGGCTATTTTTCTTCACAATTGACAATCGGCATACAACGGCTAAAATGTCTCTCCTGAGTGGAATAAGTAACCATAGTTTTCGCAATTACAAATGTTGAGAGCGTGGAGGTTTGGTTAATGTATTCGTTTAGGAATATGGAGAGGTGAGAACTTTTGAGTCAACACATGAGTTTTTATGTTTGGTTGTCACGATGTTACACTGGCAATCAAGAAGAGTGGTGAATGTTGAGTGTTATTGTTGAAAGGTACAGATGGAGACTCAACCTTACTCTTTTAAAGCAACTTTGGAACTTCTGGTGGTGAACGAATGGCATAAGAGTAGGTACTAGACACTTTAAAACACTTATCTGCTTCCAAGCCATGACCTTTGGTGCAACGGTTGACATTTGATCTCAGTTAATGTGCGCTCCAGCTAAAATGAGCTCTATGGGTGGTAAAAGCACTTTCATTCATTTGAGGCCAAGGACAAGGGGGTCTCAATTCTTATCAACCATAATACAGCATTCACGCCTCATAAAATAGTATCAGACAAGCATGGCCACTTTATTATTGTTTCAGGCAAGCTACTAAATACCATTTGACTAACCTATATGTCCCCAATACAGGAAATCCAGGCTTTTTGAGCATTTTATTAGCTATTACCTGACCTCAGTACACACTCACTTTTCCTTGGGGGAGACTTTAGTAGCTCAGCCTCTCTTGTCCAATCTGTTTCTAACAAGTTGGGTTTTATAGAAATCTGGCGATTACTTCATCCAAACATGAGGGAGCACTCATTCTTTTCACAGGAACTTCAAACATTTTCGC